TATGATAGACTGTTTTGTACTCCCTCCATTCTAAAATATAAGGCATAATCACCCCTAACCCAAAAATCAAGAAAATAATTATTATCATCTTGTAGTTTGGATCATCCTAATAAATACAATGCATGCATCCAATAGAATTAGAGAACATGAGAGTAAAGTATTTAAAAAAGTAATAATTTAATAGAGAAGGGGTCATAGTTAATTGCCTACATGCATGCATGCTATGCCTTATATTATGGAATGGAGGGAGTAGAGTTTAAGGCTAAAGCGGTCCTTCAAGTTTCATATAAGAATCAATTTAGTCTTTAATATTTCAATTTATCCATATTAGTCCTTCAAGTTTTTATTTTAATTTAAACTTATCCTTAAACCAACATAACCAACAACTCTCTTGATAAATAACACTTATACCCCTCATTCACATATATAAGAGAAAAAATTGCATGCAATGAATTCTTTTTATAGATAATGCACAGCAATTTATATAAAACAAAATAAATTAAGTACTTGCAAGTGTATACGATAGCCATTAGGCTCAAGTTTCATGTGCACATGTTGAAATAATGGGAAGTACATATGCAATGTTGTTTATTCATTTTAGTTTTTTTTCTAGTGTATAGTTGTATACAAATTAAGAGCGGAAGGGACATTTTCTAACAGAATTGTTGACTAGAAATAACCATATGGCATATTAAGTGGGCCCAAGGATAATTTTAAGCCAAAACAAATACTTAGAGGACCTATGTGGATAAAATGAAACCTAAAAGACCAAATTGAGCCTTCAGTGAAACTTGAGGGACTAAATTAGCTATTCACTCAATGATGTCCCATAAACTTTACTCCCTCCGTCCTGAGGGAGTACTTGATTAGGATAAATAACATCTTTTGGTGTAACTGCTTAAATGAGACAGTTGAAGGAAAAGTAGAACTCATCCCTTGTATATGTGGATAAATGGAGCAATCCCTTATATTTGTTGACGTAGGGTGTTTGACAGGTCTAACTTATAGGTTCAGAAAATATAGTTTCTACAATAAAATAAAGTGGTTTTCGACACGCTAATTCTAGTCCAACATCCAAACAGAATATCTCGCTCAATAATGCTCGTTCATCCTAACTACAACTCTTAAGAATTTTAGGAGCTAGAAATATCAGCTCCGAAAAAATTGAGCGTTGAACCTGTGCCAAACAAGCCAAGTATAAGTCTGCAGCCTACATATGTGTATCCATGATCTCTAAAACTTCGATCGACTGGTTCTCTAGTCTTATAGAGCTTCTCTGCTAGGTTAGGAATTTGGGGACAGCAGCAAAAACAGGTCTCAAGCAAGTTAAGGTAGAGTAGAAACTAAACCCAACTATCCAAGTCGAACCACGCAAACCAAAAGAAAAAACAAAAAGTAAGACGCCAGAAATAGTACCAGTCAAAAGAAAAGCAACACAGATTGGACATTAGCTTACCATGCAGTTGACGCTATCGATCATCATGAGCCCATCTTTTGGGAAATAGGAGGCACTTTCGGCATGTAGCCAATAAGACCAATTTATGAAATAGTCAGGTTCATTTCTGAACATTGTGACACCTTGTCAAGCCATGATCAACACGAAGTCGTTACCTAATAGAAGGTCTGAAAAAAAGGCATAAGCATAAGTATATTATAATTGGGCTCCAAAAATAAAAAATTGTGGCATGTCACAACTGTAACAATAAACCAAAAACACAGACATATATATATTGCAATGGCCTTTTTGAGCGTTGATGTAGAAGAGCACAAAGTGTCATAATGCCGACCTGTCATTTGATCTCTCCTTCTCAGCCTTACCTTTACGTCATTGACGTTTCTCCGGGTCTACAGGAAACTGATAAGATGGTGATGCAAACGCGAGCGCTGTGGAATCTGGAATTCTGGATCGGATGAAGTGAGCACGGGCAAGTGATCATGTTCATATCCATCCATGGCGCGCGGCACTCGGCTCGAGTAAAAACACTGGCTCCATTGATGGGCAGGTAGGTAGAGAGCAGAGCAGAGTGCAACTTGCAACACATGTACCAATGCCGCACGTACGCTATCTACTTGCTACTAGCAGCTACTCTGGCAGCAAGAGACAGAATGCTTCCAATCATAAGAAGAGATGGTATATAGGACTTACCTCAAGTGCACACACACAGCTAGTCGTTTCCGGAAGGATTCCAGATCCTGGAATGCAATCATATGATCGGTTCAACGGTCATGGCATGGCAGCCTACGTCCTCCATTCATCAAGGCAGATAGTAGATAGTTAGTGGCTAGCATTGCACTACAGACAGTGACAAAGATGGGTAGGTGCCACCAAAAGATATAGCATGTACCAGCATTACCTGAACAGTATTTGCTCCTGGTATGCCAGAATTCTCACTTCAACAGGGGAGTAGACAGCTTTGCCGTGTCACTTTCTGTGGTAACTAATACTGGTAGATAGTGATATGTCAAAATTCTGCCAGCTTTCCTTTTCGTGGTTGCTGTAGCCGGTGCAATAATAAGCCCAGCACCCTTGTAGGAATTTTTCTTTTTTCCACCCCTAAAGAAACTTTCCGCCTTTGTGTCTCCTTCATGTAAATTCCATTCTGGGAGCTCTGTCAAACGTCCATTTGTTGTCTTTGGAAACCCATGTGATGGTGTCCATCATTTGGGACGTTTCCATTCACTGTTGGAGTGGCTGGATTAATGGGATATGCCCACGTGAAGGACGGAACTGCTTTATTCCACAGTCAAAAAAATCAAAGATTGTAAAGCCATAACCTAACCAAATGACATCCATAGATTCCATCAGCTTTAGTATTCATCATCAATCCATCATCATGCATTGCAACTTTACTTGCTGGCATGACCGTTTCAACATTTAGGTTCGATAATGTTAGTTACCTTTGATTTGAAGCGTGTGGGGCACTTCTCTAATCAAATACAGAACTTGCTGCAAACTGTGGAAGTAGTCTCAGGATTATTGTGCCGAAACTTGCACAGCAGAAAACATGCAGAATACACTAGTTAAGGTAGCATGCAGTATCCAAAAAATAAAGTATACATAAAACTATAAATACAAAAATAAGATTCTATGGTCCCCAAGTAGTCAAAATCAATGTAAACCTTATCTAACATGCTTTTACCTCCTCTCTTGTCTCAAGTACATATAAATTGCCATGGCAGTTTTTTGTATTAAAAGAAAAGGCAGCAACTTGGCAAGAATCTTTTGAAAATGATATTTGATCACATAATTGGAATGGCACATATGTCAAAGAACAAATAAATTTCTGCAAGTGTTCACAAGAACTCATGAAGTTACTGCCTCAAACATCATATCTGAACAAATCAATTTATAATAGAAAAGGTAAAGTTGAGTAAATTGTGATTGGGCGGGTGCATTGGCAACACATGCACATTAGACAACAGAACCGGTACTCCAAGTGAAACTGTGAAACTTTTAAGTATGATATGGTGATTTTAACTTCGACTGCATTAGCTGATCATAGCAAGATATGGTTGTTGATCAATAAGAAACTAATTAAAGATGCTTTGTTTTATTAAAGGAATGGAACACTACAAAGATGCTTTGTTTTATCTAGGATAACATTATAATATCTGATAGAACATAGGCTAGTCAGAAAATTCAAGGAGGCAAAAGCAAATGAAGACGGAGTATATGTCTTTATATTTAATGACACCTCTTTGAGAGAGAGAGAGAGAGAGAGAGCATAATTACAGAATAAGGCTAAATTATAATCGAAACTTTATCCACAACTTACGTTGGTAGATCAGAATAGATCTTAAAAGTATGTTCCAAGTGTTTAGGGCATAAGAAAAACTCTAATATAATCCCCTCCTGACTCTGAGAGAGAGAGAATAGGACAAGTCGGTACCTTTTTTATTAAGGAGAAATGCATCCAAATCAACACCGAAGAGGACTAAAACTTGGATGGCTTTGGTGTCCACCCATACCTGACCACAAACATAGGCACAGTTCTCTTTCTGGCTTTCCCTAAGATGACAGAAATATGGAAAAGCCGGTATCAGTGGCAAATTTGCAGCATAGTTAATTGGAGAGGAGACTGATATATGTCGATGCCCCAATCATCATCATTATGTGAAAACAAACAGTTCTGATTATAATCTTTGATAGATGAACTGGACATTATTCTGAATTCTGGATGATGACATACAATGATATAGACCATACACTTGTACCACAAACTAGCATCTCAAGCATCCAATTGATACAAGTGCGATCCAGGGACATGAAAATTATTATCTTAAGAGAAGACAGCCAACAATTGATACAATTGTCACGAAAACCCATTGCCACCTTTTATCATTGCAGAATAGTATTCCCATCCCACCAAGCTTATACCAATTAAAATACCTTTAGCAATTCATCTTACTTAGAAAAAATGATCATCCCTGCAATACCATCAACACATAATTAGTTTCTATCATGCATAAACAGCAAGTTGTAAACAGAGATAAAGAGCCTTAGGTGAATGAAGCTTGTGTTTGCTACAAACCCTTCACTGTGAAAAAGGAGGGGAATTTAATAGCTGAAAACAAAGAACATGATGCATCAGTCCATGTGGCAAGTCAAAAGGCAATCCCCTTTTCACTACGGACAACTATTTATTAGACCCTATGTATAGGGGATACGTGAGTATGATCCATCAGATTTTATTCACCTACGTGGAATTGCAGTGAGCGCTGCTTACCAATGGTGTAGGCCAAGAGGGTGGACAGCCCGAAATATTTCATTTGATGGGAACCCATATTATTGTTTACAGTTTAAAGTAAGATACCATGTCGTCCAGAGCTACTAGTTTCCTTGTCCACAAATGGTTCAGCATTTGGGATTGCAAGTATATATAGAGCACAAACCTGAACCCTTCACTTCACCCAACTTCACAGTTAAGGCCAAGTTAGCCTCTCAGCCTCCCCAGAACAATACTACTCATTTCCTGAAAAAATACCAATTGTAGCTAACTATGTCAAGGGATCCACTTGTTGTAGGCAATGTGGTTGGGGATATCTTGGACCCATTTATCAAATCAGCATCACTCAGAGTGCTTTACAGCAATAGGGAACTGACTAATGGATCTGAGCTCAAGCCTTCACAAGTAGCGAACGAGCCAAGGATTGAGATTGCTGGTCGTGACATGAGGACACTTTACACTTTGGTGAGTTCATAACAACCTGTCCACCTCATTTCAAAATTCAATATAATTTAAAAGAAAGTTTTCTTTCTTTGATCTAAGCAAATGGCCTTAAGCTACAATAGTAGGGCCCAAGTCAGATCACTGGCATTCTATAAAACATCAAGCAGGACAACAATTTAGAGTACATCCATTTCAAAGTTGTTTTCAGTATCCATAGATTACTCAAAACCAAGAATCTTGACTTTGCACAGATTTAGAAGCTGTTTTTTCTTGATACAGAAAGGCCTTGTGCGCTTCCATATTTTATTTCGAATATATGACGTAAAGATGACCACCTTGCATTTGCTAGTGTCAGAACATATAACATCACCTTTGCATGAAGAGATTAAACTTAAAATTTATACACATTGGCCTAGACATTTAGGACATCTGCCTATATATGAGTAAAAAAAATCACAATTGCTTTCAGCAATCTGAGCCATAAAATGTGAATATTCCATATTCTTTGCTAGACTCAATAAGATGTTTCATGTTACATAACAAACATTTGAGTAGACCTGGCAGCACTACATTTTGTGTAAAAAATATCGAACAATTATTCAAGATATGTAGTATGTGTTGTATCCCCCCCCCCTCCACCCCCCCCCTCCCACGTTATGTGAGGGGTTTCCTTGAATTTGGGCTTACACCTGTACATCTATATAGTCAGGCCTAGAGCCCTGTAATGAATACAAGCGCTATTCATAACAATCAAATAGCTCAGATCCTAATAATCAAATTGCACAGGACAACAATTTCAAGGAATAGCATATTTGCCTTAATAGAAGACAAGAAAAACTAATCATGCATAAATAATTCAGCACCACTATTGCTCTGATTTAATAATAACTGAGGAAATTACGGTTAACATAAGTATGTCACTATGTTCTCGTCACTTGTTTCATAAAACCACAGAAATGGGCATTTATTTCACTGAGGAAATGAGCATGTATATATGCTTTCCCATCTGTCCCCTAGAAACCAAACAGGAGTTCCTTTGGTTCATGACCAAAGAGGTAGATATTATGGTGTTCAACACTATGCTGCTAAGTCATTGGGTGAAAACCTCCCCCAGTTAGAATTATATACTGTGGTTTTGTTAAATACATGTTATGTATATAAGTGGTTATGTGAAGGTATTACTACATACTAAGATTTTGCAATACAAGTGGCAAAATACTAATGTTTAAGCACAAGTTTCGCATGATTAATTTATTTATAAAATAAGAACTCCAGTTTATGCTTCTAACAAAGAGTGAGAACAAACTTACCAATAGGTGATGGTGGATCCTGACTCACCAAGTCCAAGCAATCCAACCAAAAGAGAATACCTTCATTGGTAAGACCTGAGACATTTGCAATGAATGGAATTGAAATCACTTGCTTATTATGCTCAAAATAAAAGCAAAATTAAAGTTGTGCGAATGTTACACAGGTTGGTGACGGACATTCCAGAAACAACAAATGCGAGCTTTGGTATGGTCTTCCCATTCTTTTACATCTCCTTTTTCTGAGTACACATTTAAAAGAACTAGAGAGTTCTTTAAGATGAAACTATCTTTGGCAACCATGCTGATATTCACATCTAGCTTGTTTTGGCATTAAAAATAATATAGGAACTCTATCAAGAATAAAATCTACAAAATGATTTTACAAACAATATGATGAAAACTATTGCTGTTGAAAAAGTGCACAAGGTAAAACTATTACTCATCGCAAAACAACAGGATGGGCACACTGCCACAATGACCTTCCACATTGATCCATTACAAATATATTTGAATGATGGCGGCTTAAAAATTGCATAATATGACTGTCGCTCTGCAACATATAATATATCTGTTGCGTCAAAAAATAAGATCTGAACAGGTTTGAAGTGACTCTTAAGCCAGAAAGAACAAAAGAGATTCTACTCCTAATCCAGCACAAATGCTTATGTAACAATGGCAGTAAGATTTGTTTTTCACTTACACCAATCTGTTCTAAGAAGTCCTGACAAACTATTTCAGGAAATGAGATAGTCAGCTATGAAAGTCCAAAGCCAACAGCGGGAATACATCGCTTTGTCTTTGTGCTTTTCCGTCAATCTGTCCAACAGACCATTTATGCACCTGGATGGCGACAAAATTTTAACACAAGGGATTTCTCGGCACTTTACAACCTAGGACCACCGGTGGCTGCCGTGTTCTTCAACTGCCAAAGAGAGAATGGTTGTGGTGGCAGACGATACATTAGATGATAAGTTGGATAATGACATTCCTCCTCTACAAACAGGAGGGTCGATTGAATGTTGCATAAGGCCAAGCACACCATATATGGGTAGTAAATGCTGGACTGTAATGCAACTTAATTCTCAATTACTTTGTGATCTGTACAAACACTGACTACAGTGTTCCAGAAGAAATGACCTTCACTTAACATGTGATAATTCTCCATAATTGGTCCATCTCAGCTTCTTGATACAGAAGCCTAAGGTTAATGTATAATAGTATAATGCAAGTAAAAGAATCCCTCGTGATTGTTAAGACTCTACCAGGATTGTTAAGACTCTACCAGATTCATGCAAAGCAACATCTAATTGTGGATTAGAAGTGTAAGAAGGAAACTACAGTGAAAACTGTAAGATCCACAGCTTGTAGGTGCTATAGGCCTAGGAGTTCTTTTTCCATCACCTCACATGTAATGAAAACCAATTCAATAGGATCTATGCTGATGACCTCACTATGAATCAGAATTCAGAATCCTCCCACCATCCACCAGGCATGCTTTCAGATTCCACCACCAGCAGCAAAGCTAATTTTTGCAGAAGCAGAAGGCCATTCGAGTTATAAATCCATATCTGTCCCAACATGTGAGTGCAGTCTTGGTCAGATTATGCCTCCAAGTTCATACAGAGAGCCAAAGTGACACAATATAATGCCATAGTCTCCTTGACTCAAGTTTTCTTTTCATTCTATCTGTCTTCAGTTGACAGCTCTAGGCACAGCGGGGGATCAGGTGCTTATATGAAAACAGAATTATGCCCAAGAAACTGGAGCCATTCGCTGAAGGAAGCACTCAAGCGCATCTGCTTTTGACATGATGTGATAAACTCCACAGCAAGCCACACATTACCGAGAACCAGGACATCAGATCACAAGGTTACACTACTGACATCCTCCTTGTCCCACCTCATCCAGCACGACAACCACCATCCTGGTGTTATACCAATGTGAAAGTGCTGTCCATGGCACGATCACAATGCCCTGCTTCACAAGCTGCGCTGCATGGCCAACAAGAGGGCTTAGAGACCTGTCGGGGCAATGGGATGTGCAGCATAGGGAAACAAAACTCAAATTGATCCATTGGCTGAAAACAACTCTGATTATAATGCCTGAACAGGACGGAATCATGTCTGAACCAAAAAGAAAAGTAACTGAACCTTTCATGTTGATGTGCCATGTTCCTGCAACATGTCAAATCTATCTCAGTTATGCCTTCCCCCTGTGCTTGGTTGCATATGTGAGACCACAAGAAAGTCACAAGGACCACTCATTGTCGATGCATAGAGCCACCACTTCTTTTCTTGGTCAGTCAAAACTCAAAAGGAATGAAGGAATATGGAAATGTGAATTCATCACTTTCCACTTTTCGTCGAATTTTCTATGAAACTACTTTACCACATGCATGGTGAAATGACAAAATAGAAATAATATCAAGAACTGAATATGTAAACCAAAATCTTCTTCCATGTTAGCTACTCGCAGTCCCCACTATAAAGGCGGGACAGGTGTTACCTGCAATATATGAGCTCTGCCTATAAACAAACAGAGATTACATCAAAGTTGAAGCACAATTCGATCAGCAGGAGATTATCTTGCAGGTAATCCTCTCATTTGATAGAAAGAAAACAACTTCAGAATTTGGAGGAGTCATCTTCGATATTTCTTTTTTCATCCTTGTTTTAGAGAGAAAAGGCATATTTCTCTTCATCCTTGTGCTCCTACAAAAAATGGATACCCCAAGTAAAATGAGGATAAGAAGGTCCTACAAAAATGCGTGGCCATTACAGGTTATTCTTTCTCATCATTATCCAGAGGATGCATTAAAAGCAGTCGCCATAACTTAACTCTAGTTCCCAAATTGTCCTCCAGGAGTCCAGGATGCTATATTAGACAATAGACATGCATTCGGTCACCAATTCTAAGTTGTCTCTAGAAACTTAAAACACCTCACAAAACCACACTTTGATCTTTATTTCTACTGTAGTTTGTTAACCATGAGATTTATTGTTGTAAAACACACATGTTATTCCTTATTTTGAGAAAGAAAATGCCTATGTTGTTAGTACCCACTTAACTGTGTGATTATGTTCCATTGCATTTGTGGGCTAGCAATAGCTCATAGTATTTATAACTATAACTAAAGGTACTAACTCTGTATCAAACCTGATTTAGCCAATCTCTGAGCAGTCCGGGGTGTGGAAATTGAAGCTCCAGAATGGCTAACCGGTGTGCTCTGATCTGGCGTAGAGGACGTGACCGTAGCCACAGGGCATGCACCCAAGAGACCAGCTCCAGCGTTCTGACGAAAGGGAACCGTGCCTGATCTAGGCCCCTTCGCCATCATCTCAACTGGCCGATTTGATCCAAGAGGCGTCTGCGTGGTGGATGCCAATGCAAGCTCCTTCGGCTGGACATGGATGATGGGTGAGGCAGCGTTCTCGAAGCCATTGCTCTGTGCCCCTGCATCTGCAGGCATGGTCATGAGATGCTTCTCCTTGTTCACTCTGTGAGCGCGCCGGCAATGGAGCTCGCACCCGTCGAACACCACCTTGCGCTCCTCGAGAGCCTTCGTAAGCCCCTCGGGGTACTTGTAGAAGAAGATGGCGTAGCCGCGGAACTGGCCGGTGGCGCGGTCGGCGCCGAGAGGCCCCGCCTCGATCTCCCCGAACCTGGAGAAGAGCCTCCTCAGCTCGTCGTGGGCGGCGCGCGCGGGCACGTTGTCCACGAAGAGCTTGCGGTCGGGGGAGGTGGGGCCGAGCGACGCGAGCTGGCACGCGACGGGGCGGCCGCCCACGGCGAGCCTAGAGGAGGCGTCGGCGGCGAGCGCGCGGCGCGCGGCGGAGCGGCGGCGGAAGGTGACGAATCCGTAGCCGCGGCAGCGGCCGGTGGCGCGGTCGGCGACGGCGTGGCACTCGTCGAGCGCGCCGAAGGGGGCGAAGGCGGCGGCCATCGCGGCGGCGGTGACGCCGGGGCTGAGGCCGTGCACGAAGAGGCGGCGGTGGGCGGCGTCGGACTCCGCGGTGGCGGCGAGGCGGGAGCGCAGGGCGGGGTTCCGGAGGCAGGCCTCGACCAGGAGGTCGAGGAGCTCGTTCCTGGTGAACGGCTCCAGAAGCCCCTCGATTCCTTCCTCCTCCTCCTCCTCCTCGCGCTCACCGGCCGTCGCCGGCGGCGGATTCATCTTCGTGACGTCGTCGTCCTCCTCCTCCTCCACGGCTTCATCCCCTACCATTTCTCGCTCGGATTGCTCCACTTCCGCCTCCGCCTGCGTGGCGCGCCGCGTCCGCCCCCGCTTCCTCTTCCGAGCCATGGGGGGTTTGGACTTTGGAGAGAATCGCCGGGAGATGTGGTGGGGGTTTCCGGCGCCGCCGTCCGCCGGAAGTCGGCGGCTAGTTTTAAGCAGGCCGTCCGCTGGTTTGGGCCGTGGAATCCAAAAGGGCCATAGGATTTTGACAAGTCCTCCCAGTGATTTTCGAGACACTATCAAGTTTCAAAGTTTACACGCATTCAAACTTGTGTTTAGTTCACGTGCCAAAATTTTTTTAAGCATACGAACACACATTCGAAGTATTAAATGTAGACTAATAACAAAATAAATTACAGATTTCGTCTGTAAACGAAACGAATCTTTTGAGCCTAATTAATCCGTCATTAGCAAATGTTTACTGTAGCACCACATTGTCAAATCATGGCGCAATTAGTCTCAAAAGATTCGTCTCGCAATTTACAGTCGGACTGTGCAATTGTTTTTTTTCTCGTCCACATTTGATGCTCCATACATGTGTCCAAACATTTGATGTGACGGAAAAGTTAGAAGTTTGAAGAAAAAAGTTAGAATGTAAACATGGCAAATACATATGTCTTTTTTCGAAACACATCATTGCGTTCTTTTTTTTGTGAAACAAGGTATAAATGCACATGCACGCCTTACTTTAGCACCTTGAAAGCCGTATACACAATTACATGTGTTAAGTTTATAACTTAATTTCAATAAGTTACCTAACCAGCTAGGATTTCCTCAATTCATTGCATCGCATAGATTTGAGCATATGTACTTGTGATTTATGAACATCTCACACTGGATTTGGATAGAATTTTCAGCATAAGTTTATCCAACACGAATATTAAGCTTTACAACAAACAGATTCTAACCATATCAAAGATCCTGAAAGGCCAAAGAGATCATTTTCCATATGCACTCAAAACACATCACTTTCCTTCTCAAATCTCCACCATCGATGGTCCGTACAATATTGAACAAATGCCTGAATTGACTAAAAACGAATTCAAATTCTGGGCGTAAATCTTCGCAAGTTCAACTCAATTTCAATAGCAAAAATGAGTACTTGAATCCCAAATTCAATCCGCACCGTTGGATCATCATCAGACGCCAAACCGACCCGAAAAGGCATCACGATTGAATCGGGGGAGCAGCCTCCCTCTTCCCCACCCAACCCGCAAATCCCCAAATCGAACCCGCCGCCTCCCAAACCCTCGCTCTCCCAGCCCCAAGAACCTCGCCGCCGCCGCCGCCGCCTTCGGCCACCGGCCACCGCCGCCTCCCGACCGGCCGCCATGGCGCGAAACGAGGAGAAGGCTCAGTCCATGCTGAACCGCTTCATCACGATGAAGCAGGAGGAGAAGCGGAAGCCACGGGAGCGGCGGCCGTACCTCGCCTCCGAGTGCCGCGACCTCGCCGACGCCGAGCGGTGGCGCTCCGAGATCCTCCGCGAGATCGGCGCCAAGGTCGCCGAGATCCAGAACGAGGGCCTCGGGGAGCACCGCCTCCGCGACCTCAACGACGAGATCAACAAGCTCCTCCGCGAGCGCGGCCACTGGGAGCGCCGCATCGTCGAGCTCGGCGGCCGCGACCACTCCCGCAGCTCCAACGCGCCCCTCATGACCGACCTCGACGGCAACATCGTCGCCATACCCAACCCCTCCGGCCGCGGCCCCGGGTACCGCTACTTCGGCGCCGCCAAGAAGCTCCCTGGCGTCCGTGAGCTCTTCGACAAGCCACCCGAGGTCCGTAAGCGGCGGACCCGCTATGAGATCCACAAGCGCATCAACGCAGGGTACTACGGTTACTACGACGACGAAGACGGCATGCTAGAGCGGCTCGAGGCCGTTGCCGAGAAGCGCATGCGCAATGAGGTCATCACTGAGTGGCACCGTGTGGAGCGGGTGCGGCGGGAGGCCATGAAGGGGGTAGTGAGCGGCGAGGTGGCCTCGGCAGGTGGGCGCGGCGGGGAGGCTGCTAGGGAGGTGCTGTTCGAGGAGGTGGAGGAGGAGGTTGAGGAGGAGAGGAGGCTGGAGGAGGAGAAGAGGGAGAGAGAGAAGGGCGAGGAGGCTGGGAAGGAGTTTATCGCGCATGTGCCGCTACCCGATGAGAAGGAGATTGAGCGGATGGTGTTGGAGCGGAAGAAGAAGGAGCTGCTGAGCAAGTACACCAGCGACGCCCTGCAGGTTGAGCAGGAAGAGGCCAAGGAGATGCTCAATGTGCGCCGCTAGGAGAGATGGTGTGTTCTTACTTTTCATGGTTCCGATGAGTTATTCAACTGATGTAGTGTTCTTTACTGGGAGTAATTTAGTCATGTACCCAAGAGGCTTTAGCATAGTGGTTTTTGTTTGTAGTCCGTTATTTTGTCATTTTCATTATTGCCTTAATTCTGCTAAGAGCTGCACTTTGTCAATAGTTGGCCTCTTATAATTTTTCATCTCATAGTTGCACTATATATGTGCTCATGTGTGCAAACATTGAAAGTAGGTTGAAATCGCTGCTTCAAGTCTTCAACAATTGAAACACTCAAACTTGTTCTACTGCAACTGGTTAGTTGATTGTTGTGCATATCATTCATTTGTTTATGCTGCATATGATAAAATAAATCTTTTTGAACATGGCGGGACGTGGTATCAAACTCCATGCAAGCAGATCTTTCATATGCTGAAATGTTAGCCGTGAACCATAATAACTTATTCATATATATCAACCAATTGAGTGATAAAAGGTCTGCTGTCATATTTTTATTTGATATGAAAAGCATGTTTGGATTTAAATTGGCTAACATGCTACTGCGGATTTTTCACATATTCAATTGAGAAGCTTTCACGCATTGAGGAAAAACTTGCCCTTCATGGCATAAATAGTCAAAAACTTAAAACACTTAAAGCTTAAAAATAGCTGATATTTAGTGTCAACGTTCTTTCTTTTTGACTCCTTGAGTTGGGCTGTGGAGGTTGGAGTTAGTGTTGATGGCATTGGAATATTTCTTCCAAGTTGCATTTTCAACTGTGTATTTTTGCTAATTTTGAAGCAAAAATTCTGATGTTTTACCTTACTGATTCTGTCAAATTGACTTCTCTGCTTTGTGTATTTCCTCATCAGTGTAATGTCTTAGTTGCATTTGGTAAATTACGTTATACAGTCCTTGCATCACATCATTTTGCAGCATTTCTTGATGTGCTTCCTTTTTATTAGGTTGGCTATTGTTGGAATCTTCATGATCTGAAACTTCAGCACTGAAGTACAACGAACACCCATGCGATGCTGACGCTGAAGCGCAGGAAAACAAGGAGGAGCCCGTTTTGCAGCGCATTCATGAACGCAGCCCTGGCAAACATCTGTTGTTAAAGAAAAAGCAGGGCTTCCCTGTGTTTTATCCATTTTATCACTAACCTTGATGAGTGGTGAGTGATGGCGAAGCACTTACATATTCGTAATGTAAACCAGAGTTCTAGTGCACTGCATGCTTTTAGTGTACTCTCTAATTACTCTTTATAGCTGATTAGCTTCTAAAATTTTAGTTGTATACTGGAGAATATGTACTTCGTCTGTTTTCCGGCTTCTATGATGTGCAAGAGAATCCATGTTATACGTGCTGGTGCTGCAACTTTTCCTGATATCAAATACAAGTGCATTATCTTCAGGATGGCAAAGGGGCATTAGCATGCCACAACAGCTGTACAAAATGCATTTGCCAGTACTCCATGCAAAAATAGCTAAACTAGCATCATAAACCGCCAAGTTATACATCAAACTGTCAATAACAATTGGTCAGCTGCCAAGCATGGCTAAGTACAAATTTCCAGGACACTACTTGTTCTGATAAACTATATACCAGGGCAGCGATCAAGTCTTGTTACAAATGAGATTGTCCTAAACCATGGTTATCCGAAATTATGACCATCTCATATTCCATCCATCCTCTTCCGTAGAATATCTTCAAATCTGCTATCTGAAACTGACAACAGCTGGTTCAAAATCAACCTCACTCCGCAATCAATCATCCGAGCATACCGAGGCTTTATCCGCTGTTCTAAACTGTACCCGAAGTATTGTGGAAATTTCACTAGCTCGTTCCTTGGGTATCCCATTGTCAGGAAATATTCATATTTGGGAAGCAGATTATCTTCCATGCTGAGAGTGTGAATAATCCCAAATCTATTCGCCATAGTGCCGATTTCCTCCATGGTGAAGTCTCTCTCCAGGAAAAATTCTGTGATCGGTTTTAGCTTTGCCTCAATGTTCAGACCAAAAGCCTGTGGGCTTTTCTGAATAAGAGACGCAGCATCCGCACCGATTGACTGGAAGTATTCAGCAGTTGGCCTGAGATTGTCATTGACACTGTAGCTCATGATATGAGGACATCGCGTCAGAATCTTGCCAATGTTTTCCTTAGGAACTCCTAGTTCAGTGAGAAAGCTCACGGTTGTCTCCACCTTCTGCCTGCTATATGTGAGAAGTGCAGGGAACCGGGAAAGCACCTTGCTCCACTTATCTTTGTTGATACCCACGTTTTCCAAATAGGTCATCATAGGTTTCAGATTATCTGACAGGCTGATTCCACATAGCTGAGGTCTCTTCTTGATGATTCCTGGTATGTTTGACCTTGGCACACCAAGCTCAAGTAGCAGCGCCACCAGAGGTTTTATTTTGCGATCCACATTGTAATATGCAAATGCTGGGAATTTCCGCACGACATTCTTGATCTCTTCATGATCCATGCCAAGGTCCAGTAGATAGAGAACTAGCTCAGGAAGGGCTCCCCCTGAGGTTGGTGCGCTTACCCGAGCGATTGCCTTGTGTTTATTTGAGCTTGTGGGCGTAAGAACCATTGAAGAAGACAAGGCTTCCCGTTCCATAGCAAATGGATCGGGGAAATTCTCCACCACCTCAACCAAACCATCTCCATGTTCTTTAGAAAGGGCTTCCAGATATGGAATCAAAGCATCTCTAATCTCCGGTGTGCTGAGCTCCCTTCCTGAAAAATAAACGTGTTGTTAAAAGTTCAAACCAATAGATATGCAAAAAGCACAATCAAGAAAGCAAACCTTCAGCATATCGTGATCTGTAAGTAATGTGGAGCTTTGAAACTAGGTGTTCAATGAAACCATCTGCCTTATTGGCAATTCGTGCAGCCAGTATACTTCTCAAACCTTTCTGTCTTAAAAATAGTGATAGCACAGCTTTTGCTTCCTCTCTTTCTGCAGCAAGCAACCTTGACCGAACAGCAGCGGAGCTTTGAGCATTACCACTGGCTAACCACAGATTATCCGTATCTGCATCACAGAGAATTGATGTGCACTGTAACGATAACTTGCATGCTTAGTTGCTTACATACATGGAGAAGATCTTAAGAAGGGATAAATAAGTAACCTCACATGATTGTGCATTGCAAATGGGAAGTTGTCTAGAAATTAGAGTGCAAAGCCTGTAGAACAGATAGCAGCGTTAAGAATGTATGGGATGATGATATCATGATAAGAATAAGAGTGAACAATTATTGGACAATGTTAAATACTCAATGTTACTTTACTTTTGAAAGTTTATGTTTTAGCTTGATGGTTTTCTAGTCCAACCAAAACAAAAGTAGCAAATGAACTAAAATTGAGACCCTTTTGCATTTATACAAACAAATTAAATGACTGCCATTTCTCTTTCTCTTTCTCTTTCTTTTCTTTTTGAAAAGAATGACTGCCAGTTTTGATCCCAAAGAAAGGAGGCAAAATTGGTTCTGACATTGAAATTCACAATTCTAACAGGACCTCAGTCATTGGCATCCCCATCTGAGACCAGGACTATAATATGAATCTTTCGTCTATAAGTAGAACTGGAGCACCTACTCTCCAAATTACACAGATGCTAAAACCTAAGGGTTTGAACTGCAGCTCCATGTGAATGGCGCAGGTGAACAAATCGAGTCTGGAATCACAAGAGCCAAGAGGAAACTCCACACACAGCTTCCATTTCCACTCAGCTATCAATCTAGCAAGGCCAATTCCACTTAAAAGCGCGTGAAGAAGGAAGCAGAGGCTTTACCTGCGGGAGGAAGGGGAGGGGGAAAGGATGAGCCGCCATGGCGGAAGCCGAGGGCGTCCCCGCGGGTCGCACGGTGCCACGCGGCGGCTGCTCGGGCGTGCGGCCGCCTCCAAGCTCGTCATCGTCGGCGGCGACGGCGACCGCCGCAACGGGAGCAGCGGGAGGAGGTCGACGACGAGAGTAACGGGAGTGGCCAGGTTTATCCTGTTCCTTTTGCAGATAAACCCCTCTAATAACTCCAATTTTCGTGTGACCGTGTCCAGATAGGGGGGTTATGACAATATGCAGAAACTGCGGGTGCTGAATGCAAATTTTGCTACCTCGCACACAGAGTGGGACGTTGGCATTTCTGAACGATGCCCAGCAAAGTGCGCCGAAAATAAATAGATAATATTCCCAGCAATTTGCATTTGCTTAGAATTTGCACAAATTACACACCAGATTACCACAGAGAGTGTCACATTTGCGAACTTTGTAATCAACAGCATGAACAAGAGCATAAGTTTTGAGTACAAGATCGATACAGATTTTCTTACCTCCATAATAAGAGCCAAAATTTTACCTGGTACTGTCCTAGGACCAGTACTAATAATTAAGCAAGAGAACAGATAGTCACATGAGCTTTTTAAGGTTTAGTAGGATATCTGTAAAACATTCCTGCCACTGCCAATATTTAACATGCCGAGGATTCGCTGATCATATGCTTCCGAGTTGTGCGACGGTGCCAGAGTCATCATTCATCACCCTCTTGTGACGGCGTTCCCCTCCGACGCAGTTCCTTCATCTTGCGGAATTCATCATAGTGAGCCTTCCGTTGCTCTTCGAAATCTATATGAAAGCATGTAAAAGCAGTCATTCTTACTTTGAAAAAAAAACACAAAACAAGATGGTGAAATTTGAGGTTACTCTTGCAAAACACATAGATAGTAAAAATTGAAGCGTATCCACCAGTGCCTTGAGGACTTCCGGAATCTGAACTAGAGATAGGAAAATAGCAACACAGCTTGCAACCAGTCTTCCCCAATGGTCATCATCCCACAAAAAATATCCAACTGATTCGGGAAAACACACACGGGAGATTTATATCTATTTACAATTATACAAATTTTGATGGTCCAACTAGCTACTAAACCAGGACTAGAGCTAACCTACTGGTGTACACTGCATTAGCTCTTACCTTGCTATCAAGCAAAAGTTTTGGTCTGGCATACCATGATGCCAATAGAACAGCAGGGTTGAATTAAAAAAAAAAACAAGTGAAGTGGATAAAGGAGTAATCAGACAAAAGGGAGTCTTGAACTTTCTATCAGTAGATATTTTCTGGAGCTAGGAAGACAAATCGGTCTAAAATGTGACAATTCAAATCAGATTTACAGATCACAGGATCAGGTTACTTAATCAACCCCATAGCCTGAGACCAGGATACCTGAAATTATTCCTTCCTGTGTTTATCTTCTTTATGTGAGATGTATCAGACATGATATGCTATATGGCAGTACAGCACCGAAATCATAACGACTTGCACAAGCATCAAAATACAAAATGCCAATTAAGACTTTAAGAGTCAAGATACCACTCACAAGGATATTTCGTTTTTCATTGTCAATAAGAAAAGACTGCAGATTACTAACCTGTGCCTTGTTTGATGGCCACCTCTTCTTCTTCTTCTTCTTCTTCTTCTTCTTCTTCTTCTTCTTCTTCTTCTTCTTGTTCTTCTTCTTCTTCTTCTTCTTCTTCTTCTTCTTCTTCTTCTTCTTCTTCTTCTTCTTCTTCTTCATTACTACAGGATTCCAAATGTTCTCTTGCTGATAATTTTCCACTTGAAACAGCTTCCATCAAAGCAGTCTTAATCGCATCAGCATGAGTGGACTTATCCACTGATTCTTCAATAGTTCTTTTTGGAGAAACAGTCCCTTGGACCAGATGCAAGCATCAGATGCATGTTGTCCGGAATTTTTTCTTTAGCTGTATTAAAACATGATTCTATATGCAAGCTCCAAAGCACATACCATCATCTTCATCAATCATTGAGTGATATGGCGTCTTAGGCTCGGTGATTTTTTCTCTTACTGGCTTGGTCGACTCAATGTCATTCAAATTTTCTTCATTCCATTTCACACGGTCCCGGCCCCTGTCCCTGCACACAACAGTATACTAACTTAAATGAAGAAATGGTTATTTTAAATCAAACAATAAATTTGGCATTTGAGAGCTCGAGATGGATCTAACCTTGACTTTTTGGATTCTTTAGCTTGCATTGTGGAAGCAGGTCAGGAGCACCTCAGAACCTGCAATAGCTTTATACTAACTGAACATCTAAAGCAAAGCACTGTACTGAGAATTAACGCTTGCTTGATAGCGAACAAAGCCCATTGCTATGAGAATTCAGATAAGCTACATCATCAGTTCATCACCGCACATAACCGAAACGTGAGATTGATCAAACAGCACATGTAGATATGTAGTTACGCGAATACGCACGCCAATTTCACCGCCAACCAGGGATGGAACGGATCGGACACGTAACTGATCAGATATGCAGTGATCAGAGCCGCATCAGCAGATCGCCGACAACTTCCCCCGCATCGCTACGATGGCCGGGCACAAACGCTAAAAGTCCCCAAGCGCAAAAGCCGTGCCAACGCACACCCCACGGTGGGGAAACGGGGGAACGACCCACCGACCGCGTGTCGGAACGTCACCACGGATCGATCATGAGATATTCTGTCGCGCGAGCGCGAGGATGACGACGGCGAAGGAAGCCTGACGAGCACAGAAGTAATCACGGAGCACGGCGAGCGGCACGCGAGGCAGAGCCCAACAGCCGCGACAGGCCGCGCGCGGAGAGAGAGAGAGAGAGAGAGAGAGAGAGAGGGGGGGGAAGGGGATCGAAGAGAGAGTACCTTGCTGATCAGCGATCCCCTTCAAGAAGAGGAATATGGGCGAAACCAACGATGAGCCAACAGAAGAGAAACAGAATGGGAAAGGAGAGGAGTGAATAGTGATGACTGTTCTGGATATAGACAGCCAGGTGGGCCGGCCGGGCTGGCACGGCCCACGGCACGAATCGGCACGGCCCGTTACGGCACGGCCCGTTACGGCACGTGTCCTGTAGCGGGCCGTGCCGTGCCGGCCCGCGTGCCGCGTGCGCGGCCCAGGCACGGCCCACCACGCTGCCGTGCCGTGCCGGGCCGGCACGGGCACGAATCAGCACGCGGGCCGGCGGGGGCACGTGGGCCGGCCGCAGCCCGGGAATCCGGAAAATAGAGAAAAAAAAGGGGAAAAAAGGAGGAAAAGAGGGAAAAATAGGGAAAAAATAAAAAAATGAAAAAACAGTGAGGAAAATAGGGAAAAAATTAAAAAAAAGGGAAAATAGGGGGAAAATTAAAAAAAAGGAAAAAAGGGAAAATAAAAAATATGATTATAATTTAGAAAAAAATAGGAAATTAGGTACATAAATATAAAAAAGATGATTATAAAAAATAGGAAAAAGCTAAATAAATATAAAGAATATGAGAAAAATGGAATAATGATATTTATTAATTTTGATATTACATGGCTGCCTCGTTAAAAACTTTGTCATGTAAAAACTCATATTTGAGAAAACCATGACAAAGAAAAAAGAGTACAGCCTATAAGTCGAAAATTATTAGAAAAAACTAGCTAATCTTGTGCATCTGTATCGATGTAGAGATCTTCGAACTGAGCAACCAATTCCAAGTTCTCTGCGGAGTGTTGAGCACGTTCAGCAGCTAGCTCCCAGTCTTTGACGATGAGCAGCATTTCCACCATATCGCTGCTTAGATTTCTTCGTCGGTCCTCAATAATTCTTCCGCATGTACTGAAGGCCGATTCAGAGGATACGGTAGAAACGGGCACCGTGAACACATCCCGTGCTAGTTTTGAGAGCACGGGATATTGGGTCTTGTGATCATTCCACCATCCAAGGACGTTGAGATCTTCAGTGCTGGTACAGTCACTGTCTAAGTAGGAGGACAATTCTTGGGTGCCTTGAAAAGTACCAGTTGTTCCTGAAGCGGAACTCCCAGCAGGAGTGGAAGAGGAACTACCACCCCAAATCCGTCCCCATTGTATTTTCTTCTTACCAGCGACAGAGACAGTTGGGGGTCTTTGTAGGCGAAGTCCCTGAAACTTATTCTCATACTTGGCAAATGTCTCATATAATTTAGTCTTAACATCAGAATAATAGTTAGTATAATCTATGTTCATTATCTCTCCAATAATATTCAACATATTAACCAATCCCCGTAATTTACCCCTAGGATCAAGAATAAATGCAAAAGCATACAGTACAGGGATTTCCTTCCAATATTTAAGATATTTTTGTTTCATATGAAAGACTGCAGCAGATAGTAGGTGGTCATTCTCATTTTCTTGTAATAAAGTAGCAATTTCAAGGATTTTGTGCAACATTAAATTAGCAGTTGGATAATAAACTCCAGATAAAGCAACAGTGGCATCGTGAAATATCTCAAGAAATGCAGCAAACTTTTCTACTACATACCAAGTTGGCTCGGACATTATTAGTTGCCCATCACTGTTCGTAGCATTATTAGACTGCAAAAAAACGGTTAGTAAATCCTTATAAGGCAACACATGCCTCAACATTAGGTACGTGGTATTCCATCGATGATCTGTATCCGTGCGGAACTTACGGGGCTTCATACCCGATGCATCGCAAAATCTTTTCCATTTTGCAACCCGTGGGTTTGAGGCAAATAACCATGAGATTGCCTCACGCACAGAATCAATATGTGTAGATACCCTCTTAAAACCAGTTTTAACTATCAGATTAATGATATGACATGCACAACGTTGATGTAAAAGAAATGATTGACCATAGACAGAGAATACAGGTTGTAGAATTTCCATGGCCCTAGAGTTAGCAGCTGCATTATCTAGTGTTATAGCGAAAATTTTATTTGTAAGGTCAAACTCTTGAACAACCATGGAAATTCTTTCCGCGATATTATCAGCAGTATGTGCAACATCTATTAATTTTAAAGCAATGATTCTTTTCTGAATTTCCCAATTATCATCAACAAAGTGAGCAACTACACTTATGTAGTCTTCCTTGGCCTTACCACTCCAAATATCAGATGTGATACTAACAGAAAATGTGCAAGTGTTAAATAATTCTTTCAGTGTATCACGACCTTGTTTATAGAACTTTCTTAAATCACGGGTCGTGGTTTGAGAACTAACAGATTTAAACCTAGGGTTATGAGCAGTTTGAATATATTTTTCAAATGCAGTTGACTCACCAAAATTTAGGGGTAAATCTTGTCTAGCAATTAATCGAGTAAGAGATTCTCGTGCAACCTGAGGATCGTACTCCCACGAACGTACCGTACCATCAGGATTCAATATCAGTTGTTGTTGTCGCAGTTGGATGCCTTGCTTCTTAGCACACGACGCCGCATGCCGACTTAAATGTCCTGTTCCACTTGAAGATTTTCCAGATAATTTAGTTCTGCATATTTTACATCTAGCCAACGTTACCTCTTTACCATCAGGGCCGGTCTCCTTGATCTCATCAAAATTTTGCCATACGGTGGAAGTTCTCGATCTTTTAGAGGACGAGGCCGTTGACCCACTCGCGGCCACAGTTCCTGATCCTTCTGAAGCCACCTGTGTGGTTGCAGGTTCTTCCGGCATCGGTGCAGGGATGCTGCCACCTTGCTCCATGCCGAAATTTGGGTCGTACTCGCTCATGTCAAATATTGGGTAATTCGGATCGTCCATGCTGAAATTTCAAAATTAACATATACGTAAATAATAACACTAATAATAATAATAATAATAATTTCTTACCTTCTTCAACTCTTTGTTTGCAGCTTACAAATAGGAATATATGTCTTCCCCTAGTTATTTTTATTTTTGGCAATATTTAGAGAAATTTTGCCAAAAATTCGGAAGACCGTAAAGTCGTAACCTACAACACACAAAATACCACAAGAGAGCACAAGATTGAATGTTTGGATGAGCCAGAATGTTTGGGTTGGCTACCCTATTTATAGGAAAAAATTTCCTAATTTTTGAGTTTTTTTTCATATATTTTTGAATTTTTTTCGACCTCCAACGGTTATTTTCAAATTTTAGCCGTTGAAGTAGCCGTTGCGGGGTAACCGTTGCAAAATTTCAACCCCACCACCATCCAACGCGCGCCACGTGGGCGCCCCCCCCCCCCCCACCGATGCGCCCGGGCGAGCCACGTGCCCGGCAGCCCGGCCGGCCCCCCCTCCCCCCGCGCCCGCGCGCGCCACGTGCCCGGCAGCCCGGCCGGCCCCCCTCCCCCCGCGCCCGCGCGCGCCACGTGCCAGCAGCCCGCCCGCCCGGCCCCCCCTCCCCGCGCGCGCGCCGCGCGTTCAAAATTCGAACGGCATGCTACAGTTGCGGGCCGTGCCGCGCCGGGCCGTGCCGTGCCGGCCCGCTACAGTAGTCGTGCCGGGCCGTGCCGGCACGCCGGGCCGAGGCGTCGGCCCAGGCACGGCCGGCCACGTCGGGCCGTGCCAGCTCGGCACGACGGCTAACGGGCCGTGCCGTGCCTGGGCCGGCCACAGTACCGCCGTGCCCGGGCCGGCCCACGTGCCTCCGGCCCATTTGGTTGTCTATAGTTCTGGAGGAGGACACTCAGGGTGTGGGGCCCACCAGTTGCTACCTGCTCTGCTGCAATACCTCCTCCTCCAGTGGCCACCTAAGCAGAGAGCACTGGACTGTGGAAACTGAAAGTAGAAACTGAAAGCCACAGGTTTTGCATCTTCAGACCTCGATACGCATGGTTGTTTGGATGGTACTTCTCCGTAGGGAAACTGGGGATGCGTTTCTCGTCAATTTCAATCTAGTATATTTGTTTGTGAAATGACAAAGTATAGTGATTGGAATTCAAGTACGTGTTCAGAAAAAAAGACACGTTCTAATACATCTTATACATAGTGCTCGGAGATCTCAAATTCTCAAAAGACGTCTGATGACCATTCCGTTTCCCAGAGATTCGACTGATGCAGCATGATAGTGTACAGATTTGTGAACTTCAGACACGGTTCAAACCAACAAATCGACGAAAGTGAAACATACCAATTCACTGTATTCACCCAGTCGTATTTACAGAGAACAGATGCTACGGCATTTTACAACCTTTACCTAGTGGCTAAGTTCTCCAAAAAAAAAAGAAAAAAGGAACGCGCCTGAGCATATTGCAGCACCGGAAACAAGAAATCCGGCCGCCTGCCTTGACAAAGGTCCCTGAACTCCGCTCCTACAAAATGGTCAGACATACGATAGGAGACGTAGAGAACTTGTTGCCTCTGCAACTCGGAGTATGGCCCATTGTCGCTTTGCACGAGGTTTGCAGGGGACACAAACAAAGGGACAGTTAAAACAAGTAAATGCAAAGACATTAGAAAAGATGCAGTGCAGATCCATGACACGACAAGAAGAATAGAGTGTTGATACTGGTAGAACCAAGCATGGTTGGTAAGATTGTTCTTTGTATTAAGGAAATGGAGTAAAGTGTGTGAGTGTGACTGTCATGGATACGTTTCTCATTTAGACAAACTACTACTACCTCCATCCTAAAATAAGTGCGTTTGTAGTTTTCTACTAAATCAAATGCATAAGTTTATAGATAAGAGTAATAATGTCTACCATGTCAAATAAGTAAAACTATGAATATATTTCACAATGGAACTAATGATGCTCATTTGAATAGTAATTATTGGAGTATTGTTTTTTCTATGAATTTGGTTAAAATTAGGATAGTTTGACTTAGGAAACCAGAAATGCACTTATTTACAACGGAGGTAGTATGGCAAGTACAACAGTTGAGCCTAGTATGGGTTCCTTGGTAATACACATCATCTTAGAGACTATCCTCTTATAACAATTGAGACAACAGAGGCTCTAACCATGAATCCACCAAAATATTTTTATCATTATTCTTCTTTCCTTTATCTAGCCTCATGCGAGGAAATTCCCTATTATCTGGCGCTAAGAGTCTACAGAGAGTTGATATTAACTGAGCTTAGGTGGTACCCCCAAGAGCCTGCTATAAAGACTGTTTTGTATGCCCTAAAAGTTCGAATACCAGAAACATCGATTTGCTTCAGGAAAGCATAATTGCTGACAGCGCTTTTTTCTCTACTTCACGCACTGTCATGCTAAACATGTAACCTTATTTTCCAAGCCTTAACTGTGCTGAGTATTTAATGGTCGTTCGCATCTTGGTGACAAAATTTTCAAGCCTTTCACTCAATAGAATATTTACTTATAAGTTTAAAACAAGTAACCCATGACACTAAAAAAGTTATTAGCCACAGGGGCATCAAACTTTTCACAGGTGCGCAAGAGAAATAATTAGTGAAAATAGTGCCAGTAAAGCATGCAATTTGATAGTAGCACAGTAGAAAATTAGCAAAGCAGCACTGAAAGATTGTAAAGCAGAAGATAAAAAGTAGGATCATGGTGTCAACTGGCAAGGAATGTGGGTAATTGTAAATATATATAAAAGGCAGGCGGAATTGATAGAATCAACCTTCGAAAATACTGGACAACCATGACAAGTCCTGCGCCTCAACGTTGTTCTTGGTCAGTCTGCATCTTACTAAAACATAAAGGAAAAAGGTAGGAGTAAGAGTAAATGATTTGTGGAAATGAATTACAAAAGCACAGTTTTCCTTGTTTCTACCAGTCTACAATGAGTTTCCAGTTGCAGAATCCAGACTCAATATTATTTTATCAAATGCAAGCAATTCTTCAACATGATTCTACTTGAAAAAGAATAACAAAAGAACGAAAGGTTCTGCAGGATAACACACAGCTGTACTTGCAGGCATGGACACAAGGAGATACAAGAAATTATGGATTGCCCAAAATCCTGATTCATCCACACATCTAGGCTGGTAACTCGTACTAAAATCATGTCCCACATATGTGGATGGGCAGGACTGAAAATATAACATGTCAAGAATATATCTGTCATTGAAAAAAAAAAACAGGTGTACAGCTACAAAAGAAGCTACTAGCAAGAAGCATACTGATCACCAATATATTGAGAAATAAGATAGCAGACTGACCACTAGAATTCACAACAGTAACAGATCACAGATGAAGACTCGAAGCCTTCCACAAATAAGTCAATTAGATACGTCCATCAAGCTTCCTGTCTCGGTATAGCCACAGCTTAAGCTGCAGATGTGTCACAGAACACTTAGTTGTTTACAGTGAACCCAATCAACTCTCCAGCAAGTTCAAACTAGCATAAAGGAACATCATTAACTGGTCTGGCAAGAACTTTAGTGATAAGTCAATATGACATGTAGATTTATTATGATAAGTGCAAGAATGGACATCATAAGAATCACTGATTTCACTATAATCATCTGTAAAGCACAAGCAAATGATTTGAACTGAACATACGGCAACAGGATAGCAAAATGAATCAAAGATCAGTGAGTATTGCCTTTTCATGAGGGAAAAGCCAGCACCTCAGAGTTAAAAACATTTCACATCTTTCACCATTATCATGAATAATGATTTGGTTGATAAAAGTCTAGCGGCCTATCATTAAAAAGGTAGATCATTAGAAGAAAATATAAATAAATAAATAAAAACAAAGAACTCTTCCTGGCTGTCACTTGTTACAAAAAAATGATGCAAGACAAATGGTCCAAAGATAAATTAATACAATCGTACGTCCTTAGATTATTGATTTCTTCTATTATACTGTACAAGATTAGAAGTAGACAAGAGTCAGTTATTGTCTGATAAATCATTGTAGCAAGCAAATGATATTAAATTGATTGGTTCTTCTATTACACAAGATTAGAAGTAGATAGAGTCAGTAATACATCATTGTAGCACGCAAGTGATATTGAAAAATCTGACAGGTATTGTTTCCTTCCAGAAAGTGGAGGATCATTTTTATAATGACCAGTTACATAAATTAGCTAGTTTTCAAGCAGCTTCAGGGAGCAACTGAAGTGATCTTGCAAAGTACAGTAAAAAAGATTAAAGATACATTTCATTTTTATACACCACATCAGTGGACACAATAAGCCTCAGCATATTACCTTACATTTTGCATTACTATGTACCAGTTTCCTCGTCAAAAAGCATAATGCACCCTCCCTCTTTTGCTCCATCCATCTCTTGCAAACAAAATGCGAAGATCAAAAGAAAATGTGCTCATTGCACAGAAAAAAAAAGGTCCTGTTGATCATTGTTTACAAAGTACCAAACTAAGGTACTTTACAGTCAGAAATTTCAGAAGCAAAACTGGTGCACCAGATAGAAGTTAATAGGCCAGATCATGCAGGTGGGTTAGATCTGCACACCTTATAATGCAGGTGAATTAGATTGTGACCAGAAGTCTGAGAAAGAGCTAACCCAGTAACCCTGCAATGATATAATAGCTAGCATGGACCATAAGGAGACATGTTATCCCCCTTCATATGCCTGCTAAAGAACGCCATCAGTTGTCGCAGGCACCAAGAAGACAGATACTTCATTCCAGTGGATATCTCACCTTGGAAGACATGTACTTCCATTGATTCCACGCTGAAAATTAGCATCCACAGCAGACCTATAGTGATGGTTCAAGATTAGCCAAAAAGGCCACGATCTCCATTGTTCCCTTGTTCTTTCATCCGTTGTTCTTCCAGAGGATCAGGGCTCTTCATATGTTTCTTGAAGCGCCTGCATGTTTTGCAAATACAACATTACAAACCACATAAAACGCCAATTTCAGAATTAGGATGATAAATTAGAAGTAAAAAGCAAAATCACTCGTACCTGTCTTGCTCATTTAGAGCAGGAAATGTTGGCATGAAATCCTTTGATCTAGGCAGAGGTAGTTCGCGAAACCATTCATGATTCAAGGCATCTTCTGCTGATATACGCTGTATGAAAAAACCATGTTCAGTCAGCTACAAAATGAAGATACAAGAATCAGATGGATCACTCTATTAAGTGTATTACCTTCTCAGGGTCATATGTCAGTAATCTATTTAGCAGATCAAATCCAGCTTCTGACAACATCGGCCCACCAGTGAATGATACAGCTCGGAACTTGTCCCTTAATCTATTGTGCCTGAGGGAGGAATGAGTGGTAAGACTTTATATGATACAGAAACTGCATGATCCAAATAAATAAACCAGCAGAAACAAGAAATGAGTTGGCACTTACGTTTGTTTGCCAAATTTGACGGTGGCACCAGGCAACTTAGAATAACCAGGCCATATATTCTCATCAGGCGTGCCAAGTGTTCTAAATATCTGCAATGGAAATCACTTCATCATAAGATTTCCTTAATCAAAATAAAGATATGGAATAGACAAAAGTCAAAACCATATACCTTATCAAGTTGATCTATCTCGCTTTTCCCATTGAACAGTGGCCCTTTTGATAAGAGTTCTCCCATAATGCAACCCAATGACCACATATCAATAGCAGTAGAATAATCCTTTGCACCTAAAAGTAATTCTGGAGCCCTGCAGTCATAAGGAGCATGTAATAAGACCATGGATAAGTTAAATTTTGAGTTAGACTGATTGTATGAAACTATAGACTGTCTAATGACTTACCTGTACCACAAAGTCACAACCAACTGGGTGTAAGGCTTTAACGGGCTGCCATATTGACGAGAGAGTCCAAAATCACATATTTTCAACTCACCGCGGTTGTTCAAGAGAAGATTAGATGTCTTGAGATCCCTATGGAACAGCATAATTATTAGAATCTAACATCAAAACCAATTCCAGAAAATGTGTAAAGGAGAAGAAAAATTAGTGATTAACAATCATTACCTATGAAGTACCCAATTGTCATGAAGATACTTCACACCTTCTAATAGCTGAAGCATCAAGCATTTGACCTCACTTTGACTATACGGTTGTTTCATTGTCTCCATAACACCCTTAAGATCATGTTCCATGTACTCCATCACCATGAAAATATCTCTGTCATTACTACCAACAACTACTTCCTTGACTTCCACAATCGAAGGGTGGTGGAAGGATAACAAGATATTCATTTCCCTAAGAGAAGTCAGTGGGAAACCTTCCCTTTCCTTCTCCATCTTGACCTTCTTCAGCGCAACAATCTCACCAGTTCTCTTATCCCTCACCCTAAATACAACTCCATATGTACCCTCATTGATTGTGTTGAGTCTTTCAAACTCATCAACGCTCCTACAACCTTGAAGCATGTTAATGCACCTACGTGGGGACCGTGTACACTCAGGGGTTTCAGACCTACAGTCCTCACCTTCAAAATCAGAATCCAGCAAATGACCAGCAGGATAATCATCATCAGCCGCCTCCTCAACATCTATGTTGTCACCCTTCTCCACTTCAAGGTCCCGGTTTGCACTACCCTGTAATACCCCCGAGTCAGATGACCTTGAGGAGCTTCTCACTGAGTTATACACCAGCACCTCTCCAGACTCAGGGCTTGTAACCTTTTTTGTGGACCCTCGTTCAATCGAGTCGACAGGTGACACGCTCTTCTTTTTCTTGGGCACAAACACATTTTCCTCCTCGTCGCCAGCATCTGCCCATCTTGAGGTCAGAATGTTTCTCATTGTTGGGTATCCCTCTTCCTCCTCATCCACAATCCTGTTCTTCTCATACTCCTGTACCTTATCAACTGACACATCCAAAATCATTGGCGAGTGTCCATCGCCTATGCTAGACAGTGAGCTCATGACAGGCAAGGAATGCGACTGATGCATAATAATCTCAGCAACTACAGCATCTACCTCTCTAATGCCCCTCACAGGGTCTCGAGCCTGCCGCTTTGAACCATTCCTGTCCCAAATTACTGGAGATTGCTTCCTCTTCTTACTCGGGGACATCTTCGCCTCCTCCTTGCTGACTCGCGTGACACCATTCTCCCTCGGCTCCCCGGTCTTCATTGGGCGCTCACCGGACCTCTCTGAGCCACTCCCACCTGAGACCTCGCCGGGCTCCCTGTCCTCCGTCCTCCCTTCCGATGGACGCCTCCTCGGTGGTGGACGCGGCGAATCCCGGCGGTGGCTGTACCCATTCGACAGCTCCCGGCCACCGCTGCGCCCGCCGTCACGGCGGCGTTCCGAGTCGCGGTGGCGGCTCGGGTGGCGGTGGTGGTAGTGCTCCTTGCTCCTCCTAGAGACCCCCACGTCGTGCTCCCGCTCCCTCGCCACCTCGTAGCCCCTGTACCCCCCGTGGCTCCCCGCAGCCATGAATCGCTCCCCTCACAAACCCTAGCAACCGACGTCGAATCCGCAAAATCCCAGAGGTAATTCTCCACCAAACTAGAAATCCTCGGACCGAAACCAAACCCTATAGAGACAAAAATTGGGCGTGATTCCGACCCGGTTGGGGGATCGGACCTCGATTCTCCACCAAACTAGAAATCCTCAGACCGAAACCAAACCCTAGTAGAGACAAAAAATTGGGCGTGATTCCGACCGAATTGGGAATCGGACGACCTCACCTCGCAGCCGAATCGAACTGGGGGTTGCATGTTGCTGCCGCGGTGGAGAATTCCGCCTCTGCTTATCGGGATTCGAGGGGGGAAGAGGCGGCCGCGAGGAGAGGGGGAACCGAATCGTGCGCGGGTTGCGGGAGGAGAGAGGAGGAGAAAGCCAAGTCGGGCACGCAGAGCGTCCGCGCACCACGTGGTCCACGTCGGCCGCGTTCTTATCGTGCGGTTTGCTCTGCCGGTTTCCCACCGACCTTCGCGTACGCGGCGCGGGGGGATTCGGGTCCATGACAGGTGGGGCCCCGACGCCGAGAGTGGAAATGGACTGGTAGTGGCCGACCTGACAGGTTGGTCAAAGAGTCCAACTACATACCACATGCTTGAATTGAAAAATGGCACGGACCATAACATGCCGTGATTGATGCCGAATAGTACAATAAAACAATCTGATTTATTCGTGTAACAAGATTATATTTCGGGACTGTTTAGTTCGTGAAATAAAAATTTTTAGGTGTCATATCGGATGTTTAATCGGATGTTGGAAGGGATTTTCGGACACGAATGAAAAAACTAATTTCATAACTCGTCTAGAAACCGCGACACGAATCTTTTAAGCCTAATTAATCCGTCATTAGCATATGTGGGTTACTGTAGCACTTATGGCTAATTATGGATTAATTAGACTCAAAAAATTCGTCTCGTGATTTCCTCCATAACTGTGCAATTAGTTTTTCTTTTAATCTATATTTAATGCTCCATGTATGTGTCTAAAAATTTGATGTGATGTTTTTAGGAAAAACTTTTGGGAAACTAAACGGGTCTTCATTGATGGTACAAAGATAAAATTCTTCTGTGCCTGGTACTAGTAGTACATCAGAAACCGCCTTCAACAAGCAGCGGAAACTCTCAGATCGATCACGAGCCTTTTGACTGTGGCAGTGGATTTTTCTCAGCGGCACAGCAGCGGCAACCGGAGCGAGAGAGAGGAGGGCGAGCGGCCGCTGCCGCTGCTCCAGCTCGCGCTCCGCGTGAGCAGCCAACCCTTGGCACCGCCTCCCGGGCGGCCCAGCGCCAGCTCGGCCTCGGCGCGCGCGCGCCGCGCCTTGGCCTCCGCCTGCGCCGTCGCCAGCTTCCCCGCCGTCCTCGCCTGCGCGCGCAGCCTCATCCGCTCGGCCTTCTCCTCCGCCGTCCGCATCTGCAGCTCCGCCTTCCGCCGCTCCCGGTTCTCCCACGCCTGGATTCTCATCTCCTCGCGCCTGTACCTGACAAAGCGAAAATGGCAATGGCACACGATGCAAACGTGAGTAGACAAGTATAGTGGTGGTAGCTGCTTGCTTTTGGTTTCAGGCTTTCAGAGGATGTCATTGTCTCAGTGCTTCTAGCTGACAGTTCAGCACTGATGTGGTGCTGTCCGACAAAAGAAAATGCTAACGAAAGAAAATGCTGCGCACTGTTGACTGCACATGCAGAGCACAGCTTTAGCGCATTTTTGCAGCAGGATTTCGTAGTTCAAACCGATTTTAACCATGGATTTAGAGAGGAGATGAGCAACTAAATTTTTAGTCGAATTTGCTGGTTTTAGACGGATAACAAGCAAAGAACTGCTTCCCCCTTTCCCAATATAAGTTATTCTAGTATTTCTTATATTTATATTGATGTTAATATCGATAAGATGAAAGAAAATTGATGAGCAGCAGGGAACGCGATCGGTCACCTGGCCATGTACTTGGCGCGCTCCGCGTCGCCCCACGCCGTCGCGGGCGACACGGCCGTGATCGTGCCCGCGACTTCGTCGTGCCCCTGATCGGCGCGCTTGCGAGCCGCCCGGAGATCCACCACGCCGCCGGCGACGGCGCTGTCACGCGACCCGCCGTCGCATTGCCCAGGCGAAGCCGTGCCCCGCGCGACGACACGGGCGGTCGCCGCCGGCGCGACGACGCGGGGAGTGTTCGCCCTCGACGGCTCCTTGCTCCCGCCGGGCGTCATCTCCGTGCCGACGTCCCTCAGCGACACCACGCACCGCTGCGGCACGTACGCCTGCACGGCGTCCACCACCTTGGTGTCCACCCCCTCGTCGCCGCGCGCGGCCTTCAGCGCCGGCGCCATCGCCGCGGGCGCGCCCTCCCATTCCACGTTGCTCCACGATCGCCAGCCGCCGGCCCCCTTCCGCGCCGCCGGCGGAGGAGGCAGCAGCAGCCCGTCGTCGGCGCTGGCGCAGGAGCTCCTCCGCCGGGTAGCTTCGCCGCCGCAGTCGTCGTCGCCCGCCCGGGAGAGCCACTTCTGCGCGTCGTCCCACTTGGACGGCCTCGGCCTCGCCGCCTTCGCGTAGCAGGCCAGCAAGTTACCACCACCGTGCACGTCATACCTCCGTACGCCGCCAACGCCGCCGCCGCTGGAGCTCTTCCCCTGAGAAGACCTCCTCATCACCGGCAAGTAAGCACTGAAGTGACCGAGGAGGAGATCAGAGGAGGAGGATGCCAGCTGCTACTGCCACCTCCTCCATGGACGGAGAGGAAGCAGGGGATATGAAAGGGAGATGAGAACACTGTGGTGGCGAAGTGACGGCAGCTACTGCTGCTGCTATAGCTGGAAGGAAGTCAGCTGCAGCTGTCAGCAATCAGGAAGGGAATAGAGAGTGTTGAGCTCATGATTGGCGGTCACTGTAACAAGCGGAGACTGTACTGTGTGTGCACGTCTGCACCGTGGACGTCCTCAGGGCCGGCACCGGTCAGCTTCTTCCGATTAATTGCGGCAGCATATAAGCGGCCTTGCCCTCACATAACGACGCACGCCCGCCCGGCAGGACGCACGCTATCAGCACAAAAGTTGCCGCTCGGTCCCTGAAAACATGGCACCGCCGATCATCAACGAGCCACACGTTCTCCCCACGACGATGCACCGCTCATCGCAACAGGATTCTACTCCTTCCGTTTCACAATGTAAATCATTTTAGCATTTTCCACATTTATATTGATGTTAATGAATATAGACATATATATCTATCCAGATTCATTAACATCAATATAAATGTGAGAGAAATGCTAGAATGACTTACATTGTGAAACGGAGGAAGTATTATTTACTTTTTCTTTTAACGTGATCACTAACATATGACCTTTCTGAATAGCGGTTCCACATATTATTGATTTTAAGTTAAAAAAAGTAAGTAAAAAAATCGCAATCCCCGCTCATCATTTTCACCCTCCCATCCAGTTCGCATTCTACATCGCTCCAGCCTCTAGTAGCTTATCAGCCATAATTGAAATTCAAAATTTGAACTTCATATTAAAGTTTATTTCAATAATTTTTTAGCGTGGTTTATTTTTTTTAATATTAGTTTTTAAATCGTTAAGAACAAGTTACTTTCGGTTGTTTCATTCGTTTTCTTTGCGGCGTCACAGGAGATTCTTGGCCGCTGGAAGTAGAGATCTAACGGCCATCCTTCCTGCCCCTGTTTCTCGTGCACGAACGGGTGCAGGTAGGTAGTGCGTGTGGTTGTGTTGGGGGTGTGCTTTTGGGCCGCGAGCGACTCATGTGAGGCTACTGTGTGCCGTCGTCGGTTAGCACGAGCTGTGCTGCTGTGCGCATATGGGAGCTAAGCTAAGCCCAGCATGTGGTTTTGTTCCCCCGCTGCGTGGCTAGAATCCAAGGCGGCGAGGCGCGCGACACCCCATCGCCCCACGTGACAAGTGCAACTTTTTTGGGCACGCATGCGAAGGGAAGGGATTGGCTGCTCTGTGCTCGAATGTTTGGGCACAAGCACAAACACAGCTCGTCGCGCGTGGATGGACTCATGGACGCACGCACGCCGCGTGTTTCCATGTAGTACTTGTGAGGCCCAATGAGCGCGCTAGTGCGCAAGTACACGCTGAGTGGAAACCGCTGCTGTATGCAGCAGTTTATTGATGTCTTTTTTACTGTTCGTTTGGTATGTCACTAGATCTGATGTGTGCTGGTGAGAAAAATCTGGGCATTACTGTGTGTATACCTGGCATCGTTCGGTAAGCATAAGCTAACCGACACATTGACATTATCATCTTGTTATTATTTTTATCTTGGAAATTAGCATCCTCTTTCTCTCAAAGTATAAGTACTCGTAAAGCCTTTCACGGGGTTGGTATACGTGAAACTAAACAAGAGATGAATGAGATGAATGTGATTAGTTGGAGAAATGAAATGAGCATTCATTGCAATTGTTTAAGATGAGTAAGTGAAGAAATAGGTATACTCTCAGATAAATAAATTTTGATTGTTAGAAAGTCTTATTTTGTAACGGAGGGTATAGCGTCATAACCCCTGGTCTATTTTGTGAGACGAATTTAACGAGGTATATTAATATTTAATATACCTCGTTAGATTCGTCTCGCAAAATAAATCATGGATTAATATATCTCGTTAGATTCGTCTCACAAAATAGTTTGATCATGGATTAATATACCTCGTTAGATTCGTCTCGCAAAATAGTTCAGGGGTTATGGAATGGGTTTTGTTAGTAATCTACGTTTAATACTCATAAATAGTAAGATTCCGGAGGGCTATTTAATAGCCTGGAGGATCCAAACAAAGCCATTGACGTGGATGACAATAGAAAAGTGGAACCTACGTGTCAGTGATTGTAATGATAGTACCATTTTGTAAAAGATACTCACCCATCATAAGACACCTTAGTATCGACGAGTGATACTTGTAGACCAGATGATTTGGGTACTAGGGTACATTGGAACGATGATCTACGCAATACGACATCAAGCAAACAAAAGATAAGGATTATACTGGTTCAGGCCCCTTGTCAGGTTAATAGCCCTAGTCCAGTTTTTATATGAGATTGATGATGGAAAACCACGTATTACAACAAAAGTAGAAAGATCGTAGTCGATGTATTCGACAAGATCTCCCGGCGACTTGGCTTCGCGTACTCTGACTTCGTAAACTACAGTGGGTGTGTTGGCGATGAGATATGATGCCTTGCACCCCTCCTTGGGGTCCCTTTTATATCGTGGGTCATTTTTATCCCAAGTAAGACTCGGAGACATCGGATCTTGCACGGTATAACAGAAACTCGATCCCTTCCGAGTAGGACTTTGGAAATCACCTGTCTCGTGGAGATAATTCCCATAATTTATAACAGATTCCAACAGCGTATATAGGAACGATTCGTATACGTGAAAGTATACCATATCCGTGTACTACATAAGTCGTAGGATATGAAGTATGCCTTATCTGTAACCCTGACACTTAGGGTGTGTTTTTTTCTCTCTCCTAGATTTTGCTCCATCATTTTTCACGCGCACACTTCCCAATCTCTAACTCCCACCAGTGTCATCTTGTTCCCATGCCCACACAAAAATGATCCCCTCAGTTCTTGGCGCCCACACCAGGCGATTGTGGCTCGTAGTGTCATGGCGACGTACACTAAAGTCGTGAGAAATGAGCAACAACTAGAATTGGGAGGGAGGAGACAATGACATGCTAGGGTTAGGGAGGGAACGGATGGTGGGCAGCGAGGGTTGGGAACGAGCGAACAACGGCGACATACATCGAGACACATGATCTTATTACCGTGAGCGCACAACCGTGATCCGGAACTCACAATCACGCGTGAGGAAGGTAAATAAACTGTCTCGTGTTAGTAGTTTGGCATGGGGCCCACTTTTGGTTTTAGGGAATTAATTTTACTTAATCTCTTGGAGAGAATTTTCTTCCTACATCATTCCGTTTAGGATTCCAAATTCAGAATTTTGGGATAGAATTTAGCAAATCTCTTATTGGTGCTCTTAGAAGTAGAACACATAGGTCTCAAATTAAACTATACTGGGCTGCTACGACCACAAAAGAGTCGCTTTTTAGGGCCTTAGCAACCATACTTACGTCCTATACAAAAGGAATAAGTCCACTTTAACTTCCTTAATAGTGACCCGAATCTAATCTATAACCCTGAACCACAAAACCAGATATCTTGACTCCCTCAACTATTAAAACCAGTGCAACTTGACTCCCTCAGCGGTTTCTGAGAGTGGTTTTAGTGACGTGGCGTCTATGTGGCAGTGTTGACCTGGTGTGCCGTTGACGTGGTGCTTATGTAGCATTAGAACTAAAAACGTACATGTGGGACCTCTTCGTCATTCGGGAAAAAAATGTGGGGCCCACTGGGTCTATCCTTTCTTCCTCCTCCCTCTCCCTCTGTCCCTTACCCCTCTCCTCTTCGGCGAGCGAGGGCCAGCGGTGGCGGCGGAGGTGGAGTGGCAGCGGTGGGCGGGAGGGCGTAGGCGCCGGCGGCGCCGTGGGAGAGGAGCCAGAGCTCGAGGGAGCCGTCGGTGCGTGCGGCATGTAGGTCTATCCCTTCTTCCTTCTCCCTCTCTCTCTCCCTCTTCGGCGACGGAGGCGGAGTGGCGGCGGCGTGCGAGAGGGAGCCGTCAGCGCTCGCGGCCTCGAGGCGACGCTATGTCGGCCTCCCCTCCCACCAGCGCCGCCGCCGTTGCTGCTCGTCTTCGCGGTCATGGCGGCGTCCGGTGCACCGTCGCCGTGACGCGGTTCGTCGTTGGCTCGACCAAGCCCTGCCTTGGTTCGTCGTTGGTGCACGTCGCGGTGTTCTCCGACGGCTGTGACGAGAGCGGCCCAACGGAGCTTGGGCGGCCACCGTGGCCCATACTTCGAGCGGTTGGAGGAGGTCGGGTCGGTGGCACTGGATGAGCTGGTCTGGGAAGAGGCGGAGCAAGGGAGGCCGGCGACGGTGGTGGTGTACGACACGTAAAATTCAACAATTGATTAATGAACTTAAGATGAGTGTTGGCAAAGCCAACAAACCAGTGGTAGCAACTGTGTTCAGGCAGACATAACCCAGATGAAGAAACTCAATATGAGCAGAGGAGTTATCTGGGTCACTGAAAACGTGCAGGGGGAGGATGTTTTTTTCTTCAGCTGAACCCTCTCGACGCGGCGGAGAAGCGAACCCATCTGTTGACGTGGGTGCCCCGGCTGGCGCGACGTTCTTGACGCAGACGTGCGCCGTGGACGTGGTGTACACGCACGCACGCTTGGGGGAAAATAGAGGCGAGGGCGATGCCACCGCCGCCGCGAGACGTCCAGTCGCCGAGCAAATGGCCGTGTCCGCGAGGTGGCTGTCGCGGAGGTCGAGGCCGACCATGCGGAGCGGGAGAAAGAAGCGCCACCCGCGGCGGTGTCAGCGAGGTGGCCACCGTACCCCGCGCCGTGAGGTGTGGCCGCGACGGCGCTATCGTTGCCAATCCGCATCCGCCTCGGTTGCTGTTAGACAGCGTGGGAAAAAGAGAGGAATAAAGAAAGAAAGGAGAGAGATAAAATTGTGACACTAACGTGTAGGTCCCACAAGCTGAGTTAGCTAGTTGGATCGAGTCAAAGACACCACATCAGTAAAGCCATTCTCCAAAACTGCTAAGGGAGGTAAGTTGCACCGGTTTTAACAGTTGAGGGGGCCATGATATCTGGTTTTGCGGTTCAGGGACACGGATTAGATTCGGTCACTTTTAAGGGAGTCAAGGTGGACTTATTCTTATACAAAAGGCCTACAATTTAGGCCCTTATTTTCTTGGGCCGAATATGGCCCTTTTATTAAAAAGGAAAATCGCATGGAAAATGGAGCGAACGACTAACCTTCCGTTTTTTCTCTTTCGGTACCTAACCCGTACCCGTTACATCCTTCCCTCCAATAACCCAGCCACGCACCTCCTTCCACGTGGCACCAAGCCTTCTCCTCCAAGTCACCTCGCTCCCCGGCGCGCCCAAACCGTACCCAGATCCCGCGTGCTCGATAAAAGACGGCCGATCTCCGCACCACCCACCCCAACACGACCCCTCAAGGTCACTGACAGGTGGTCCCGAGCTATAGTAGGCCCCACACGTCATCCTCAGTTCGGGTAGGAATCCGCGTCCGCGCGCGGACCTTCTCGAAGAAAGTCAAAGCGCGCCCCGCTCCACGTCACGTCGGCCCGGGTGGGGCCCACGCCCAGATCTAACCCCTGGTCCGTCCGATCCCCGCGAAGCCGACGGCCCGGATCCGACCCGCGGCCTCACCCCCGCCTATAAATACCGCCCGCGAGGGCGTCCGCCCCTCGCGCGTCACAGTCTCGCATCGCTTCGCTTCCCAGTTTCGGGTCTCTCGCTTCCCCCGCGCGGATCTCCACTTCGGCTCTCCCCGGCTCGGCTCGGCTCCCTCCACCTCGGCTCGGCTCAAGTCGAGTCGCTTCGCGAAGGAAAAGGATAAGCAGGAGACGGCTCGACTCGAGAGGAGGAAAAAGAAAAGAGAAGAAAAAAGAGAAAAAAAAAAGAGGATAAGGCGGGGAGGCGTCTCGAGCCGGCGGCCACCTCGCGACCCTCAGATCCGCCCGTCTCCGGAGCAGATCCGGCTCGCCGGCGGCCGCACGGGAGGAGGAGGCCGCCGTCCGCCGCGGATCCCCGGCCTAGGGTTTCGCCCTCTTCAGATCCGGCTTCTTCAGGTTCTCGCGACCCCCCGTCTCCGTTTCGAATTTTCGGGGATGTTTTTCTCTTGGGGTTTCTTCGGTTTCGCGTGCCGTTAGGTTCTGGGCGCGAATTGGAGGATTCGGGGGTCGCGGTGTCGGATTCGTGCGTGGCGGGGGGTGGGGTTCGAATTCGAATTAGGTCTAGGTGTGGGATTAGGGTTTTTGGAGGGAACTTTTTGAATACGTTTTGTGTTTCTGTTGTTCTCTTACATCAAGCTGTACGGGAAGTTCAAATTTGGCATTTGATTCCGCTAAGTTCAAGTTTCCCTTCCGCGTGACTGAATCTTGGGTCTCTTATGGTTGTCAATGGTGAACAGATCTGGCGCCCGGGCACATGACACCGACGGTCCTCATGGAGTTTGGGCAGCAGAGGCAGATTAAGCGGGGCTACGATGAAATGGCGTTCCGGGGCATGGCGTCAGCGGCGCCACGGGGTTACGCGGAGACCGTTGGCGAGTCGGAGGGCGCGGCAGGCAGCCCCGTTCGTGTTGACTCCGAGGACTCTTCGGCCCCCAAGCGCAAGTGCATCAGCCTAAACAGCGACGGCTTCGATGTCAAGCGGGAGATTTTCGTCCCAGCCAAGATGTCCTCCTCCGAGAGGAGGCATCTCCGGAAGAGGTTCCGCACAGAGCTTGATTCGGTCCGGAATCTCCTCAAGAAGCCGGAGTTTGCTGTCCCTGTCCCTGTCAATAGAGCTCCCGCGCTCTCGTCCTCGGCTGCCCCTCGAGGTAAGAAGGGACAGCGTGGTAACCATGTGGTCCGTGGTGCCAAGGGGCGTTTCTTGCCTACAAAGCCCCGACCTGAGGCTTCCACGGTGTTGACTGAGGATGCGATTTTTAAGCAATGCGATGCTATTCTGAAAAAGCTGATGACTCAGAAATGTAGTAACATATTCGACTCCCCGGTTGATGCTGTTAAGCTGAATATTCCAGATTATTTTCAAATCATCAAGAAACCGATGGATCTTGGAACTATCAGGAATAAGCTTGACTCTGGTTCCTACACGAGTCCATCTGAATTTGCAGCCGATGTACGGCTGACCTTTTCAAATGCGATGACTTACAATCCTCGTGGGCATGTAGTGCATGATTATGCCATTCAACTAAACAAGATGTTTGAATCAAGATGGAGGACAATTGAAAAGAAGCTGGCTTCCATTGCCACAGAGGCGCACGTCGAGGTTGACAGGGCTGACTCAAAGAGGAGGAAGACTCCCCCTGTGGACTGCAGTGAGGTGTCAACAGAGTGTGTGAGGCCAACAGAGTCTGTTAGACCAACAGAGTCTGTAAAGCCAAAAATGACATTCGAGGAGAAAGAATCATTTGGGAACTGTTTGGCATCTTTGTCTGAGGATCCGGAGGTACCTTCACACATCATTGATTTGTTGCAGCAATGCATTGACAACAACACAGATCAGCTTGGTGATGGAGAGATAGAGATTGATATCCATGCTGTCAGTGATGACCTACTATTCGAGTTGAAGAAACATGTTGACAAGTATTTGCAAGAGAGAGAGCAGAGCCAGCAGGCAAAATCTGAGCCTTCTGAGAATGAGGCTGCTAATGTATCTGGCCTTAGCCACTCCTCTACAAATCCCTGCAAAGGTTTTTTTCCCTGGTCCTTTGCTAATGCTTAGTTTTATGCAACATCACAGTACTCTTACAACTTCTTTTTCTCTGCAGGTGGTGATCCAGTTGAGGAGGATGTAGATATTTGCGGGAATGCATCCCCTATATTGATAGAAAAAGATGCACACAACAATCCTAACAAGTGTGGTAGCCCAAGTAGTTCCAGCAGTGACTCTGGATCTTCTTCCAGCGGTCTGTGCTCCTCTGTGCTTACATACTCTCTTTAGTATGATATATGTCCTTGTAAACAAATATGTTTTTGCAAGAATGATCTGGTTACTTCAAACACTTGTGTATTTCATTATATTAACTTCTGTGACGTTTAAGCTTGAAGCTAATTACTTTTGAGTAGATGTTTAGTTGAGTTTAGCTAACGAGGCACTGAACAAGAAGTACGCACAATTATACTTCACTGTAGGTGCATCTGTACCATTAGATGCCCACTAGTCAGTATGCATGCTCATGCATTCAACAATATTCCCTCTTTCTTTGATCTTCTGGGGGACTAGATTATCAGTATTATAGAAACTTTAACTGGGGTTACTGTTATTCATATCGTTAACTGACGAACAAGCAGGATACCATCCTGCAATTTACCCTTGTGCTAATTTGCAACAATCTTATCTTATCTTCAGAATAGCAATACATGCATCATATCTTGTTTGTGTGGCTAAATGTTTGCGTAATTGTTCCTGTTTGGACTTCTGCTAGTCCCACTTGTCATAAGCCTTCCTTTATCATGAGTTTGTCTTGAGGTGTCCTCAATCACATTTACTCCAATAATGCAGATTCTGAGTCGGGCAGTGACAGTGAAAGCGAACAAGAAAAAGGTGGTAGCCCAGGAAAGCCGAAGGTATTTTGGCTATTTGTCATTGGGTGCTTGATGAAAAATTGTGAATATTTTGTTCTGGCCGGTTGATTGCTATGCATCTATAATCAGACATCAGCCCCTGCATACTGTATAAGCTGACTCTCATATTAATTTAATATACCCTTATTGTCTAATTTGGTCAGAAACAGACATGTTCGTTTAAATAATCTATTACTGTGGTACTTTGAGAAATTTAGGCTCAATTTTGAATGTGATATCTATCCCTCTTAATCATTTTGTCAAGGTTGCTTTTTTCTTCTCATCGAAACAACTTTTCCTTTTCTTCCGTGTTATTGCACTGAAATAGTTGTCATCTATATAATTTAGGGAAGTAAGAGATCTGAACAACTGGTGGAGCAAGAAAAGAGTGATGTTATAAGTCCAGTCGATGCCATCCGTAAGATTCCTGTGCCCTTTCTGTTCTACTACCTCCCCACGTCTTCTTAAGGCTTATTTTGATTTGAAAAAGTATTCAACAATAAGCACCTGCATAATATCAGTGTGAGAACTCTTTGAAATATAAATCTATTGGTATGTTTTATGCACTAAATGTAATTGTAGTTTGACCAAGTTTTGGGTTAAAATCTACAAAAAAATTACCTTTAGAAATCAAAATGCACCTTAATCGTCACAGCAGCACAAGTTTGTAGTTTCATGTGGCAGTTGGATGAGCTTTTGGCTTAATGCTCTTACAACTTTCAAAATCACAGGTCCTGCTGATGATGTGGAGCTCCGTGAGCAGGATAACGAGTCAAAGCCTGCCCCAGAGGGTAAGCATGAATTTGCAAGCAGTACATATGAGGCCATTAAGGGGTCTCAGTGCATTAAGCTGATTGGATCATCTGATCCTTTCCCTATGAAACTTTAGGGGAGAATTCAAAACCCGACAGGCAAGTCTCCCCAGACAAGCTCTTAAGAGCAGCCCTCCTTAGGAGTCGTTATGCTGATGTGATTGTTAAGGCACAGGGGATTCTCAGCCAGGTTTGTGATTAGTTTCATCGAGTGGTTTTGTTTGTTCACTTTTGTTGCGCTGCTTCTGACATGGAACGAACATTTGGTGAGCTCAGGGTGGAGACAAACAGGAGGAGCTGGAAAAGCTCCAGAAGGAAGGTAACAGGCATATCCACCTGAAGTTTACTCTTAAATGATGGTTCTTACATTTTCCCTGAGAAGTGCCTTATCTATGTATTCAGAGAAAGCAAGGCTGTTGGCTGAAGGAAATGCAGCTATGGAAGCTCGAAGAGCTGAAGCTGAAGCTGAAGCCAAGCGTAAACGGGACCTTGAGAGGGAGAAAGCTCGCCAGGCCCTGCAGGAGGCTAGTGAAAAAAACTGCATTTACTGGTGTCGAGCTTTCTTTTTCCCGCTAAAATTTGAGTGGTTTAACTTAATGCAGATGGAGAGAACGGTGGAAATCAATGACAACCTCCATCTAAAGGATTTGGAAATGCTTGGAACGGCAACCACAGAACATATTGTGAGTTCTGTTGATGAGACTAGTCCTGAGCATTCCCAGGATGGCATGCCCAGTTTTCTTCCTGGATCAGGCAATCCATTGGAACAGCTGGGACTCTTCATGAAAGCAGATGAGGAGGAAGAGGAAGAAGATCCTAGCAGTGTCCCCAGCACTAAAGATGCAGAGGAAGGAGAGATCAACTAGTCCCAGTGCTTGTGGGCTAGTTGCTGAATTAGCTGTGCATATGGTAGACGCTCCTTCCTTCTGCTTCCAAACTAGCTCGAACAAGGCCCTCAATTTTGATGCTGCTGGATGTCGTAAATTATGCGCCTGGAGTATCGCGGTAACCTGCCCTACAAATCATCATATGTGCTTGGAGGACGGCACAGCCATAATGGCCGCGACTTGCGGTACTCCGAGCTGTTGTCGGGTGTATGTATGTAGCCATCTTTGAAGTGCCATGGCCAGGCCGCAAGGTGGGTAAGCAATGAGAGGACCAAATGGTTCTTTGCACATAGTGAATTAGTGATCCAGGTGCTAAAGCTCCCAGCGGCAAAAGGTGTTGCCCAGCGGCTTATAGATTTTTCGTTCGTTCGTTCTCTAGTTTTCGGTTTGTCCAATTGCTTCCTGCTGTAAATTCGAATTTTGATGTAGTGGAGGAAGCGATAGTTGTTTGCTGGGCATATGGGCAAATAGGAAAAAGCTTCTGCTTTTCTTGTTTACAGGGAAAAAAAAAGAAAATTCATGCGTCTTTTAGCGCAATTTGTTGTCTCCTGTCAGATGTTTGTCGACTGTTTGTTGTGGATGTTCAATATTCTCAATACACAAGATATTTCTTGTCTTTCCTCATTCCGTTTTGTGCAGGGATTCTTCCGGAAACGTGAATAACTGCTGTTTGTTTGTTTAAATTAAACAAAACGATCGACTAACTCACCACAACTAGCTGATACATTCACCAAATATATTTGCATCGAAGTAAGCCGTTAAGGCGTTAACACAAGCCCAACCAGAAACCAAGCACGCCACGCAAGGATACGGTTACACGCAGCAGCCAACAAAATCCACACAAGCCCGACGAGTTCAACATGCAGAAACCATATATGTTCCGTTGAACTGCAAGCTCAATTCGAGTCAGAAAACCAAAGAAAAGCAGGCTAATTATACCGTGTGCGCGTGTGAGTCACTCGGGAGTCAGGACACCCTGAGGCACTGCTGCTTGAACATCTTGCTGGTCTGCTGCCCGCTGGCCGAGTCCTCCACGGTGAGGCCCTGCGCGCCGAAGCAGATGTTGATCAGCCTCCCGTTGCCGCACCCGTGCCGCCGCGCCGGCATCTCCGCCGACGCGTCGTCGTTCACGGACGACCCCGAGCTCGACGGCTCGCCCATGGCGTCATCATCGTCGTCGTTGTTCAGCACGATGTCCTTCAGCTTGCCGAACACCGGCGTCGTCATCGAGTTCTCGTCGTCCAGTTCCAGGCAGACGCCCTTCATCTTGCCGGACTGCGGCGGCGGCGGGGTGGAGGACCTCGGGAAGGCGGACGCCGGAGACGAGGACGCCAGGTGCGGCATGGCCTCCATGATGCCGTGGATGAGCTTGCTGTTGAGCTTCTTCTTGGTGGCCGAGCTGGGAGTCGAGGTCTTCACCGCGAGGGTCCTCTTGTTGTTCAGCGCCGTCGTCTTGGTGAATGTCTGCCTGAGCGGGGCCGGGGTCTCGACGGCCTGCTCGCTCAGCTTCTTGATGGAATCCATGGCGTCGCCATCGTCGGATTTCTTGTGTCCTCTGGACATCTTCTGACGAGGCCATTTCAGCATCAGCTTGAGACGGTCCTTGGCACGGCTGGCAGAGCTCAGCCTCTTCTCTGAAGATCCATGGTTTTCAGCATTTCCGCATTTTGCATCTCCATGATGGGCATGGTCACACTTGCCATTGCTAGAGCATGAGCTAGGGCGTCGGGACTCCGCGGTTCCGATCCCGGAGTAGAGGAAGATCTCTGCATCTGATATCTTGAAAGTTGTACCGGGGCTGCTTGCAATCCCTCCCTGCATCTTTATCTGCGAAACGATCGCTGACCGAGTTCGCAGAACAGTCGAATTCAGCACCCCTCCTGCGGAAACTATCTGCCTGATGAGCTTGTCAGATGTTGAAGAGCGCAGCTGCTGTTTCAGCAATGCCAGTGGAGTCATGCCATTGGCATCTTCAGCATTGAGGTCGATCGATGGGGTTGTCATCAGGAGTTCGACGAGGTCTGGATGAACACAACCAACCACAGCCATGTGAAGGACTGTGAGGCCTGCATCATTCTTCAGGTTGATAATCTTTTGGATATTTGATGTTCTTCCACGTATCAGGTGTCTCATAAGCTCCATTTGGCGGTCAAGCCGTCGGAAGCCTGGGGTTCTGAAACCTGCAATTGCTGAATGAAGGAAAGTATCACCAGCTCTGTTGACAGCTGAAATGGTTGATGGAGATGCAGCAACCAATGCCTCTACAACAGGCAGATGCCCTCGGTAGGCCGCTACATGTAATGCCGTGTTCCCTTGATTATCAGTCGAATCGACAATGTCGAAAGTGGCCATAAGGTACTTGACAACCTGCAAGAGGTATGTTTTACATACATAAGGGCATAATACTGGGAGAAGGAAACTTCCATTCTAGTTTGCATATAACTGGAGCTTTGCACACCTAACATTACAATGATTTGTGGCAAGAAATATTGGCTGAATATCAGCATCAAGAAACAGAAAGAAAGTTGGCTGAATATCAACATCAAGAGACAGAAAGGAACCGTATATATCTAAAAAGTGTGATTTTACCCCCATCTAAACTGGATCGACAAGGAGTACATCCACTTTTCAACTCGAATTATTGGAGAGAGATCAATGATTGGAGCTTTTGTTGCTTCTAACTAAAATTCCTAAAGAAAATCTGGTCATGAATTGCACAACTTGAAGTCCATGTCAAAGAGGCCAAATCAGTATGGTCTTTATAATTATTCTTTGGTTCATAATACACTGGAGAGTTGAGCATGACGATATTAACTAAATGAGCCTTTATCATCTGGGCGTGGTATGCTTATTATATAAGATAAAAAAAATGTTCTTTAATGACAACTATCTACATATCTCAATGTCTCCTTGGGTTACACGCAGCATTCTAGCTGAACAATATCCTTCCAAGCTCAAACTAATCATCACATAGGACGAATGAAAATAATTTGTTCCTTAATATTTATGTTGAAATCGATTACCGGGTAAGAACCTGCAGCGCATCAAAAGGCAAAATTGGTTTCATAACGTTGAAAGATATCGAGTTTAGAAATATTTTCACCCAAACATCCTGATGAAATGGGCATCTACCTTGTCATCCATGCATATTGGCACAAACAGAAGTTCACTATGGTGCATTTTGCAGAAGTAGTGAAGTAAGCAATGGCCAAGAAGTAGATGCCTCACCTCTAGCTGCCCTCTCCCTGCAGCAGCATGCAGCACGGTGGATCCACGGAAGTCGAGATACTCCGACACGTCGGAGCGGCGCTCGATGAGCTCCCTCAGCATCTCCACGCTGCCGCCCCTCGCGGCGGCGTGGACCGCCCTGCTCATCATCTCCAGCCGGAACACCGAGGAGCGGCCACCGCCACCGCCGCGCGCGCCTTCCCCGCCGTTGGGGCAATTCGTCGAGCACCTCGGCGACATGGCGTGGTCCAGCAGCAGCCTGAACACCTCGGCGTTCCCGCCCCTCGCGGCGGCGTAGAACATGTCCGTGACGCCGTACTCGCCCTCGCCGAACACCAGCAAGGGGTCCCTCTCCATGAGCTCCTGCACGAACGCCATGTCCCCCGCCGACGCCGCCGAGTAGAGCAGCCACCCGCCGTACCCCGCCCGGAGCAGCGTGTTCTCGGCGGCGGCGGCGGCGCCCCCGTTCTTGCTGCACTCGCACTCCAGCAGGAGGCTCCGGGCGACGCCCGCGCGGTGCCCCGCCGCGCCGGCGAAGCGCGCGTCGTCGTCCCAGAGCGCCTCGAGCCTGCGGATCCGGCGGAGCGAGGTGAGCTTGATGAGGAGGTTCGGGTCGAGGTGCAGCAGCTGCCGGACGATGTCGTAGTGGCCGTCCGCCGCCGCCCAGTCGATCGGCGACGCGTACCACCACTGGTCGCCGGTGCTCTCCCACCGCAGCGGGAAGTAGCAGCAGCACGACGCCGGCTTCTCCATTGCTGGATCTTCCCAAGATCTACAGCTCTAGCTCGCCGATGCTGCAGTGGCGAAAGTGAGCTGAGCTGAGCTGAGCTCTCTCAGCTCATCGATCACATGGAGCCAATGCCAACAACTGCACCAAAGTGGAAGAAGAAGATGGCACCATGTGAGCTGACTACATTAATAGAAAAGAATAAGAAAAAAACACAATTATTTATTGCTCGTGGTTGGATTGCACTATTGCACTGCTAGTAGGATGAAAGCATTTGCAAGCTGTAAGGGGAGAGGCCATATGCAGAATGGAGATCAGAAGAATAGAATTAACCAATTTGTTGCCACTGCTTTTCTGCCAAGAAAGGAGATTGTAGTTTTTTTTTTCATAGGTGAAGAACATACTGCTCTGAAACTCTAAAATTAAACAAATGTGCTGTTCTTTTCACATTCTGTTCTACAAATAGCAAGAACACTAGATATTGCAGAGCAGAACAGCACTAGTAGTCTAGTACACATTGACAGGAAAAGCCAAGAACATAGGAACACATAATAAGACATACAACATGACCAAGCAATGAAGCAAATCTGAAGACAAAGAATACCTTGTGAAAGAAAGAAGCAAGCAGCTATGCCTGTGTTAAGCACCACAGCTCAACTCCTCAAGACCCCAAGAACCAAAACTGCAAGCTCAGCTCAGCTCACCAGTCACCACTCACCACCAGGGTCAAGAAGAGTACTCTTGCATTAGGCCACTAAAATAGCCATGGATTTCAAGCACAGTGATAAAGGTGGCATGTAGACTAGTGTAAGTTGAGGACGTGATAGGGAAAAGGTGAGACCACAAACAGTGAGGCAGTGACACTGACAAAGCACCGTGGTCCTCCTCTTTGTAAAGGAAAGCTTAACACAACACAGCACACACACACATGGATGGATGCATTATCTCTCTTCTTCAGTATTCAGTTTTCACTGAAAGCAGGGAGACAGAGAATTCAATGGAAATTTTTGCATGATCAGAATGAGAGAAAAAAAAAGAGCAAAGAATCATTGGAGAGGATAGGAATCTTTAATTAAAGGTGAAACGAAACAGTGTCATTGATGAGGGGGACACGCACGCCAGGCAGACAGAGAGAGAGAGAGAGAGTGATAGCCATTGCACCAGGATCAGCAGTGGTCATCAACGCAGGAAGGTGGTTGGTTTGATTTGGATTGGTTTTAGGGTTTGGGTTGGCAAAATGATGCAAAAAGGGTTGTACTGTCCTGTGCAGTTTGGTGGCTTGCTTTTTAGCGATGGTAGGCCTGCACATAGTTGATGTGCATGATGATGATCATGGTGATGGCGATTTCTTCTTTGTAGTTTCAGTACTGGGTTAGTGCTAATCATGGCTATTTTGGCCGACAGGAGTAATATGCGTGTAATTAAAAATAGCCACAGGAGGTAATAATGGACTTGATTTCAAATTCAATGGCTGCCACTGTGTAGTACTCCGTACAATGCAGCATCAAATGTTTTTGAATTTAGTGAATTCAATATGAGCTCTGCCTGAGTATTGTTAAACTATGGTTCTTATTACTAGTACTACGCTCTGTGCCCGACAATAATCTGTCATCGTCAGATTTGTACATTGATGCAATGTGTCATCTTAATACAGATTTGCAGTCGAATCAAACATAATTCGAACTACTTGTATTTTGCAATTTCACACAAACTTATTACCTCCGTTTCAAAATATAAGAATCAAGAACATAATTGTACAACGTATTTGGATAAGTTCTTATATATTAGAACGATATAGGATTAGTATGTGCCAACCAGTCGGCGCGCACAGTCGGTGATATGATCTGGCTAGTTATTGCGAAGCTACTGGATGAATGATTCTATGGCATGTGTTGCAGAATTAAAGCAAAGTGCGTTGCCCATCTCCTAATCAGTTACTTTTGACGTTGATGTGGCAGCGAAACCGCCCCCAAATTGAAGCGTGTTCCTGACGAATTTAAAAACAATTTGCTCCAGATCAATCGATCGCCGGTGATCGATCTTATGAAGATCAGAAGAAAGCCAAGAAGATTCATGCACCGATCTCATGGCATTGCTGGCAACCACATTCCACACTGTTCACTTGTCATTAGCCGAAATGGCAAGGAATCAGTGGTGTAATGAACCTCCTTCTTTGTCAGGTTGGAAATTTTGTGGTTGATTTGGATGCTGCGAAGTGGACAGAGAACGCCTTTGATCTGAAATTATATGATGGCGAACAATCTGTAGGAGTATCATCAATCTAACCTTGGTGTCAGAGACGGAGCAGTGTTTATCAGCTTTCCCTTGACCGCAGATTAGCATCTTGTGCAGACAACGATGGACCCCCGCATGTGTTGGGATTGAGATCGGGTGCAGTCGTAATTCTCAGGACTGCATGCATTTTCAGCCATTCATTTTTGTGATAAACAGTTCAGATCAACTGCTACAGTACTCGTGCTACAGTACCCTGAACAATATTTTATGGTTTGGTACTTTTGCTACAGTAACCGACCTAATACTTACCGTTGGATTTAGATCCAACGTAGCAGCTACAACTGTTTAAGTTGCAGTCCATACTACTACTGCATTTGATCCGAATCCCATGTGTTGTGTGTGCATGTTGATCGTCTACCTTAGTCATGTGCACGGCATCACCTAGACATGTTACTTTTTATTTCGCGGAGAGCCTACACATGTGACCGGGAGTGTTCATTTTCTCCGGAACGGAATAAAAATATACGCGCTTTCCCGAGCTTCAAACTGCGTGAACTTTTGTAAACTTTCTACACATGAATTTTCTCAAACACTATTTGAAATTTATTTTTTTAAAAAAATATACAGCGCAAACTAAGACGCTCACAATGTGGGTGCACACGCACATCCCACCTATCCAAAAAATATATATAAATAACCATAAATGCGAGCATTCGTGTTAAATTAGATGGGCTGATTTCACCAAATAAATATAATCAGTTAAGCTATACTCACCTTGCTATATAATGGTTAATAATTTATTCCTACTTACCTCGGATCATTCTGCCATTCAGCTATTAGCCCAAAATAACACACTGGACTGGAGGAGGGATGAATGAATCAACTGCCGTTGAACCAGAAAAAAGTTCCGCTCGTTTCGGCCGGCGACTCCGCCCCCACACACATGCCACTGGTCGGCAGTTGCACATTCGCAACGATCCTTTGCCCTCCCCCTGCACGGCTGCACCGACGGCACCTCCCTTTGCACGGGATGCTTCGAACCCATACGTGCGTGCAGTCAAGGCTAGTCTGCATTACGGCTAATTATTCATTTAGTGATAGGTGACGTACCGTCGATAACGAGATGTCCGTGGTTACTTCGTCAATCTTAAAATATATCGATCCAGTTTTCCGGATATGCTCATAGGAATAGGGTGTGTTTGTATGCATTTATATGGATGAGTGTACGCGCATTTTGAGCGCATGCATTTATACTGTGTTTGAAAAAAAGGACTTATTACTAGTTGGAATAATATTTGATGAAAACCATCAAATAACTGAAAGAATCGTGCTATAATATGACTGGATCATACAGCTTACATCTGACAATGCCACATCCACCATTCACCGTGCTCAGGCTTCTTACCATGCGAGCCAGACAAGCAATAGCTGTGCCTTAACATACACTAGGGGTATGCTGGTTGTACATTTGGGTAGAATGCATAGCAATTTCCAAACTGAAAACCCATGAAGGGCTAACATGCAGTAGCGTTGATTCAACCGGTTATCAACTTATCATTCGAAAGGATACCAAAGTTTATGTTATAACCTCATGTACCTTTTTTTTAAAATTTCAGTATCAGTCAGGACTCCGGATGTGTGCCTAACGACAGATTGAAGATACCTAGCAAGTGGTAACCTCGTGTGCCTTTTATTTCAGTATCAAGACCTGCCTAATGACGAGGATTGGAGATATAAACCATTTTAAAAAAGTAAACCAAATACTCAATCAAAACTACATGCTAGTAGTAACTTTTTTTTTTTTGACAATGGGCAGACATGCCGACCAGGCAGAGTAATGCCGTCCTCAGTAGAAGTGGTTCAGTTTACGTGAAGACGACAGGGACCCAGACAGAGGGTCCGGCGGAATCCCAGAGGTCAGGACAAGTGAAAGGCGCCATAATTCAGATGCACATGACCTCTGAATTGGACAAGCTCGGACAAACAAAACTAATACTCCTACTCCTATATGACAATAATCTCCAACTACACCAGTACAAGAGTGCACGGTTATGTCTTCTTTTGGATGGATGTATCTCAGTACCCCCAAGTAGACAAAGATGCAAAAGATGGATTCAGAGATGGTGCAGAAATTCGTTGCCTGGAGAAAGTAACAGTGGATTCAGTAGGCATCACGAATTCAAACACCAGGACATTACCAGCACCAGTTTCATAGAACAGTTCACGCCAAAATTAGAAGTTTGGTTGAAATTGAAACGATGTGACAGAAAAGTTTGAAGTGTATGTGAGTAGGAAAGTTTGATGTGATGGAAAAAGTTGAAAGTTTGAAGAAAAAATTGGGATCTAAACATGGTGTCAGTTTGGTGAGTTTCTTTCTCCCGAAAGAAATACAATTTTATTTCCAGCCATTAGTGGTACTCACATACACTAGCTAAAAATTAATTTGGCGGCTCTTCTCTGATATCATATAGAAATAGGGAGAGGTTGATGTAAAGCAACTTGTTTACTTATCAATAATGAACGCCTGATTGGAAATCTTCCAGGCTCTTGCTAAGGCGTATCCAAGTCTTGATCCATTTGCATCATTTGCTCCATGTCAATAAATAGTAAATAAAGACCACTATTCCAGATAATCGAATCAATCATTTTATGTAGGAGAGATGGCATGTTAACCGGTTATTATTGCTGTGATTCTTAAGCCAATGGAACATGCCTTGCAACTCTGTTACCAAAATGATGGTAGTATTCTAAGGTGTCAGGCGAGAGACTTCGTCCAAAATATAATCACATACTTTCCATCCCCATGTGGATGGTTTTTTCTCCATGGTCTCCAATACAATAAATACATCGACATATAGTTTTCATCATACTATACTAGCAAAAGAGTAACAAAGCTATATATTGTGGAAGTTTTTTGCTAGACACACCCAACAACAATGTTTATATGCAGTTAATCCATACAAGTTTAGTTGTTTACACATTTAGTGCTTAAAATCTAAAAAGATTGTTCACACAGAAGTATATATTCGATCGTGCATTTTGAATCTCAGGCAATAGTAACTGTCATGCACTCATGCCAACATACCAGAAAAATAGTTAGTTCAATCGACGTTGTATCATGTTTACAAATGCATTATGCATCAAATACTAAAGTAAAAGAAGACGTTTGCATTTGATTTGCCTATAATTCTACTGATTAACAACCTACTATTATGGTTATGGTCAAAAGATGCTTCCTGACTTTTAGTTTATGCATTAATGGTAAGATACAGATTGTCCATGCTTCACCCAATCACTATAGCAAGCATCATTTTTTCATGCAAAAATATATGTAATATGCTGAATACTAATAAATTAATCACATGGGAGAATAAATCCATTAAAAACTTAAACAGAAATTCCAAAGGAACTCATGTAATTCCCGATTCTTTCAACATAAGTCTCCATGTTTGTCCTTTGTGCTTCATCCAAAAGCATCACACATGTTTTACTCCTAGGTGCTATTTCACTACTAACCATCTCATCAAACAGTTGATACGCCCACACGGTATCACCGACTCTACAAAGACCATGTATCAGAAGGGTGTATGTATCAAGATCTAAACCTAGATTATGTTTGCTGGTAAGTTCACTCAACAAGTGCCGGACGGTATCAGCTTGGCCTCTTCTGCTTAAAAAAAGTCTAAGAAGCGGCCGATATGACTGAATGTCAGGCTTACAAGATTGTGCTTCCATTTCTTTCAGCACATTGAGAGCATCATCATCTCGACCGTAGTAGCAAAAGATTGAAATCATGGTGTTATAGGTAGCCAGATTATGGGACACACCATTCATTGGCATTTCCACTCGAAATACTTGGGAAGCCTCGAACAAATGGCCTGATTTACCAAGAAGGTTGATCAAGGAGTTGTAGAATAGTGTATCAGGCTTACAACCAGATGACTTCATTCTATGAGACACACTCAAGGCTTCTTCAAACCTTTCGCACTTTGCTAACGATGTCATGATCATGGTGTAAGTGATAACATTTGGATGACAGCCCTGAGAACCCATTGAATCAAGAACTTCATAGACCCTCCTAAAGTTGCGCTGCTTACAATAAGCTTCAAGAACAGTGGTGTATGTGATGACTGAAGGTGGAAATCCGCGTCTTTTCATCTCTTCAATTGTCCACATTGCCTCATCGATCCTACGGATACTGCACCACCCATGGACAAAAATGTTAAACGTGTATGCATCAGGCGGAATGTGCGGACTAAGCACCGCAAAAACCTCACGTGCCACTTCAATCTTTCTCTCTTTGCAGAGCACATCAAGAAGAACATTCATCGTCTCTGTGTTCCTTTCCAACCCCATATCCTCCAGTTTATCAAACAGCAAAACAACATCCTTCCATCTTCTCGCACCCGCCAGCCTCCTGATGCTCTTTGCAACCGTCTCAACCGTGACCAACCCTCTGCCGTGCATGTCAGACAACAGCTCCCACATTTGGTCAATCTGCCTCATCTTCCCAAGCAGGTCAACCATCCGATTGCAGGCATAAGCCGTGTGCCTGTAATCATCCCTCGACTGCGCCCACTGAAAGAAGCCCAATGCCGATTTCCAGTCATCCCCAAACTTGAACAGCAAGGTGTCCACAATGTTTCCGGTAAGCCGGATTCCCGAACAATCGGCTCCAAGGCACTGAATCAAGTCCTGTACACTCCACTTGCGTGCCTTTGAGAGCGAATTCTTGATCAGCCTCGCCGCCTCTTCTTCCTCCACCGTGAGGTTAACATTGCTGACATCTCGGCTAGATTGCGTACATGATGAGATAGACAATCTGCAGAGTGGAAGTGGTTGCAGCGCCCTCGCAGCGCCATGGCGGCATCCGACACTCATAAGACGCATCAGGAGCAGCACCTAAGTTGGAGCATGAAGGCTCAAGCTGAATCCCCAAAAATCCCCAAAAATTCTTGGGAAGAAACCGCTGTCAGTACAGTACTCCACGCACGCAGCAATCAAATCCGGAGCAAACTGGATGGACTGGAGACAGAAAAAAAAATCTGGATCAGCAAGGGTAGTAGTAGTTCATCGCCAAATAAAGGAACCAATCCCACCCAGGGCGGGCTGCCCGGTTCGGTAGCCGCCGAGAGGAGAATGAGAGAAGGGTACCTTCTTCGATCCAAGCGAGGCGAGGTAGCGGGTTGAGGAGGAGAGAAATCGATCTTCGATGAGAGGAGTGAGGCAGCCAGCCAGCCAGCCGCCGCCGTCGCCGACGCTCGTCGCGGGGGGGGGGGGGGGGGGGGGGAAGAAGAGGATGGAGGAGGCAACGAGTGGAGCGGCGGCGGCGGCGGGGGCGGCGCTCGTCGTGACTCGTGAGAAGGGACGGCGAGATGGCGGGCCAAGTGGAGGCGTTGCGCCGTGCTGGGCTTGGAGGGGGAGATGGGCTGGTAGTCCGACTAAATAATGGCCCATATAATATACGGCCCGTTGTTTTGAACCGAAAACCCTAGCCCGGAATAGACAAGGACTTACGATTTTGCTATATCTCACTCGAAAGATTTTTTCTTATCTCTCACTCGATTTTCTCACTCAAATTTACAGTGCATTTCCTTGTAAGTTACAGTGTAATTTATGAAACTTACACTGTAACTTTTGTAAGTTACACTGTAATTTTTGAATCTTCACATGTAAATTTTAAATTTTGTATTGGATTTGGTCTTTTTCTTGAGGATATGGTAATTTAATGTTCATTATGGTGTTTCTTAATTGCTTTTTGCTTTTTATTATATCTATCGGATTTTAATATAAAGATTAAAAATCTGTGTGATACGATTATAAAAATCTTTCGAAAGATGTATAGGTACTCCCAGGACTTATGGCCTAGTATGGATGGGCCTCCACGTATATTAGCTGGGTTTAGGCCCATCTAATCAAGGCATGTGGGAGAATGTGGCCTGTTGACTGGAATAAGTCCACAAACTGTCCCATAATTTTTACGTCGAATTTAATTAGTGCTCCCTTCGTTCCTAAATATTTGACGACGTTAACCTTTTTACACATGTTTGACCGTTCGTCTTATTCAAAAAATTTTATGAAATATGTAAAACTATATGTATACATAAAAATATATTTAACAATAAATCAAATGATAGGAAAAAAATAATAATTACTTAACTTTTTTAATAAGACGAATGGTCAAACATGTTTAAAAAGTCAACGGCGTCAAATATTTAGAAACGGATGGAGTATTATGATTTAGAGATATGATTTAAACTCGACGGAAAGATAAGAGATGGCAAGTGAACTTATTGTCTTAGTAGTATTGTCTTATTATTCCCTGTGGACAACAGGTGTGATGTGGCCCATTAATTTTTAAGTAAGACTCAGATATACTCCATAAACTTTAAAACATTAATTGTAACTAAAACAGAAATTTCTTAACATTTATTATCAAGATATCTCCAAGATGACCAATGTTCACCGAATAGTATCTCCAAGATAGAGCATTATATCCAAGGGATACAGAGGCCGGGTTTTATTTAAATCTATTATCTCTCAGCAAGGTCAGCCACTACGTCGGCACGTAGAAATGCAACTCATCTCACACTCTCACCTCTACATATACGCTTGCAAGGCCTAGGCTTTTGCAATTCTATCTTGCACTCACAGATCCATCTAAACGCGCAGCTTGGTCGCCATGGAGCAAGTCGCGTACTGGTTCATCTGCGCATGCGCCTTCTTGGCTCTCGTGCTCCTCGTCAGGCTGGGCGCCGCGCGCCGCGACGTCGTGCGCCTCCCGCCGGGCCCGTGGCGGCTGCCGGTCGTCGGCAACCTCCACCAGCTGATGCTCCGGGGACCGCTCGTCCACCGCACCATGGCGGACCTAGCGCGCGGCCTCGACGACGCGCCGCTCATGCGCCTCCAGCTCGGCGGCGTCCCCGTCGTCGTCGCGTCGTCCGCGGACGCCGCGCGCGAGGTGACGCGCACGCACGACCTCGACTTCGCGTCGCGGCCGTGGCCGCCCACCGTGCGCCGGCTGCGCCCCCACCGCGAGGGCGTGGTGTTCGCCCCCTACGGCGCCATGTGGCGGCAGCTCCGCAAGGTGTGCGTCGTGGAGATGCTCAGCGCGCGGCGCGTGCGGTCGTTCCGCCGCGTGCGCGAGGAGGAGGCCGCCCGCCTCGTCGCGTCCATCGCCTCGTCGTCGTCCTCCTCGCCGACCGGCCACGACGGCGGCGCCGCCCCCGCCGTGAACGTCAGCGCGCCGATCGCCGCGGCCGTGGCGGACGCGACGATGCGCGCCGTGATCGGGGACAGGTTCGAGAGGCGGGAGGAGTTCCTGGAGTCGATCACGGAGGCGGTGAGGAGCTTCACGGGGTTCAGCCTGGACGACCTGTTCCCGTCGTCGAGGCTCGCCGCCGCCGTCGGCGGCATGACGCGCCGCGCGGAGGCCAGCATCCGGAAGGGCCACCAGCTAATGGACAGCGCCTTCCGACAGCACCAGCAGCTGAGGGACGCCATGGCTGCGCAGCCGCATCTTGATGATTGCGCCATGGAGGAGGACCTGTTGGACACGCTCCTCAGGATCCAGAAGGAAGACAACCTCGACGTGCCTCTCACCACCGGCAACATCAAAGCCGTTCTCCTGGTATGTATACATTAAATTTGCTTTAACGTCAAACCCGTCACAGATGACTCATCACAGATGCCAGGTTCTATAGTAGTGGGTGATAATAGTGTCATTTTCGCTTTGTATAATGCCGTAATATATACACAGGACATCTTTGGTGCGGGGAGTGACACATCTTCACACATGGTCCAGTGGGTCTTGTCAGAGCTAATGAGGAACCCAGAAGCGATGCACAAAGCACAAATCGAGCTTCGGAGTACCCTTCAAGGGAAGCAGATGGTAAGTGAAGACGACTTGGCAAGCCTGACGTACCTAAAGCTTGTCATCAAGGAGACCCTGAGGCTTCATCCCGTGGTGCCATTGCTTCTCCCGAGGGAGTGTCGTCAAACATGCAAGGTCATGGGGTACGATGTGCCTCAAGGCACCACCGTGTTCGTTAACGTATGGGCGATTAACAGAGACCCTAGGCACTGGGATGAGCCTGAGGTGTTCAAGCCGGAACGGTTTCACAGTGGAAAGATCGACTTTAAAGGTGCAAATTTCGAGTATATACCGTTTGGTGCGGGTAGGAGGATTTGCCCTGGCATGACATTCGGACATGCTACCGTGGAGCTCATGCTTGCAATGCTTCTGTACCACTTCGACTGGGAGCTCCCTAAAGGAGTTGCACCGAACGAACTAGACATGACAGAGGAGATGGGCATCACTGTGGGTAGGAAGAATGCTCTTTATCTGCATCCTATAGTCCGTGTGCCCTTGGAACAAGCTACTATGTCGTAGTTGTGCTACATACCATGGGGGTTCTCTACCTTGCATTATCATGCTTTTATATATAAATGGTTGTGGCGACTTAATAAAGTGGTTCTCATTTTCATTCTATGACTTTGTTTCCAATTGTAGACGAATTTTTAATCTCAGTTGTGAACCGTGATATGGATTATGCATTATTGCACATACAAATATTTCTTTAGCGGGCCTACTTGACGAGTGAAGGCAGGTAGCAAACAACGATGGAACGTCCCCTCAGGAGTTTATAATTGTTTCCCAGTATAAGTGCAACAGACACGGACTTGATGTTTGGGTGGTGTAACACATCATCAGAACGAATTTTAAGATTAATGCTAATTAGTCCATTAATAAGCTGATGAAATCCAACTGAAAATCGCCCTAGTTTACTTTCTCATGAAGTCTCACCAAACCAACCCACCCTACTTCCCCACCTCCAAATACCAAACCGGACGAACCAAACCAGGGAGATTTCAGCCTAAACCATTCCAGTCAAATAGGCTCGAACTATATGTCAAAAGATGGGATCAAATCATCGGCCTATGCTTTTCCTATTCTTTGTTTTCTCAATTCCAAATTTCAAAAAAAGTCCTAAATTATCACCACCCGCATTCCTACAAGGCCACATGTTACATTTGTGATCACATCCAAGTGAAGGTATTGTGAGTTTGTGAGTGTGTGAACCTTCAACACTACTCAAATGAATAGCTCTAAATATGAAATATTTCTATATTACCACGGTACTCTTTACAAACTGTAATGATGATTTGAATTTAGAACTAGTAATTATTTATGAAACTCTACTGCCAATTGAAATGGTTTTTCATTACTCTATAAAAATTTCAGCATAATAGATTCATTTTTCTGTTAACAAGTATAGAGTATTTTTTTCCCATGAGAAACAGTTTCATATAAGAGCTTATTCGATTAATCCTAAAAAAATGCATCGATTCTCTCAATTTCTTTGAAGAGGAATTAATCGAACGAAACCTAAACGAAACTGATATGGTGTACGCTGTCACCGAATACTATCTCCAATATAGCAGTGCATCAGTAGTCATTATGATATCTATATCTCAAAAGATATGGCTTCCTTTGACCTCGAGTCCTGCTTGGCTTTTTGTGGGCGACACCGCGATGGCTATGCAGTCCGTCTGCTCCCTCCGTTGAAAAAAAACGAAACTTAGTTTTCATGTTCAACGTTTGACTATCTATTTTATTTAAAAAAATTATAAAAAAATTAAAAAGATAAGTCACGTATAAAGTATTAATCATGTTTTATCATCTAACAACAATAAAAATACTAATTATAAAAAATTTTCATATAATACGGACAGTCAAACATTGACACGGAAACCCACGGTTTGTCTTTTTTTGGGACGGAGGGAGTATCTATCTATCACCAGCATTCATCACGTAGCGCATCGTGGAATGTAAATGTAACTCTCTTCTTAGAGCACCCGCAATGGTAAAGTAAGGTGCTATCTATAAAACATGTACATCTCAGCAATAGACTAAATTAATAGTAAACCATCTCAATAGTATGTCTACATGGGTATCTATAGCTCTCTAATATATTGTCTCGTTTTTCTCTATAGACTATCTCCAGGTTAGTAGATAGCTTTGCTCTCTCTCTTCATTTAATCTCTTCCAAGTAGGAAAATATGCTGACATGGATCTCTTATAGAGAGCCTATAGATAACCATTGTGGGTGCCCTTAGACTTTGTATAGTTTATAGTTATGTCACTGACACGTGAAATACAGTAAAATATGGTTTACATGTTAATTACTGAGCTGTAAACCGCACAAAGTCAAAAGATCCACTTCCGTCCTCTCTATATAGGCTTGCAGTGCTTGAGCTTTGCACGGCGATCTTGCACAGTTGCACTCACCGCTCCATACCAGAACGCGGTCGCTTGCATTGCATGGCCATGGCCTCCACCGCCATGGATCAGGTCGCGTGCTGGTCGATCTGCGCCTTCTTGGCTCTCCTGCTCCTCGTCAGGATCGGGGGCAAGCGCGGGCGCGGCGGCGACGGCGCGCGCCTGCGCCAGCCACCGCCCGGCCCGTGGCGGCTGCCGGTCATCGGCAACCTCCACCAGCTGATGCTCCGCGGCCCGCTCGTCCACCGCACCATGGCGGACCTGGCGCGCGGCCTCGACGACGCGCCGCTCATGCGCCTCCAGCTCGGCGGCGTCCCCGTCGTCGTCGCGTCCTCCCCCGACGCCGCCCGCGAGGTGACGTGCACGCACGACGCCGCCTTCGCGTCGCGTCCGTGGCCGCCCACCGTGCGCCGGCTGCGCCCCCACCGCGAGGGCGTGGTGTTCGCCCCCTACGGCGCCATGTGGCGGCAGCTCCGCAAGGTGTGCATCGTGGAGATGCTCAGCGCCCGGCGCGTGCGCTCGTTCCGCCGCGTGCGTGAGGAGGAGGCCGCCAACCTCGCCGCGGCCGTCGCCGCCTCGTTGTCGTCGCCACCGGCCCGCCGCGACGCCGTGAACGTCAGCGCGCTGGTCGCCGCGGCCGTGGCGGACGCGACGATGCGCGTGGTGATCGGGGACAGGTTGGAGAGGCGGGAGGAGTTCCTGGAGTCGATGACGGAGGCGGTGAGGAGCTTCACGGGGTTCAGCCTGGACGACCTGTTCCCGTCGTCGAGGATCGCCGCCGCCGTCGGCGGCATGACGCGCCGCGCGGAGGCGAGCCACCGGAAGGGGAACGAGCTGATCGAGAGCGCCATCCGGCAGCACGAGCAGGTAAGGGACGCCATGGCTGCGCAGGGTGGCGGCGGCGCCATGGAGGAGGACCTGCTGGACACTCTCCTCAGGATCCAGAAGGAAGGTGCCCTCGACATGCCTCTCACCATGGACAATATCAAAGCAGTTATCCAGGTAATTAAGCACATTTGCTAATGCTCCAGTAAAGAAATATACAATGTTTAACTTTTTTAAGATCTTTGAAGAACAACTTAGACCACAGATTTGTATTACAAATAAGTTAAAAAAATCTAATAGTAAGTTCTGTAGGACTATGAAAGTATTGATTTTCAGGACAAATCTACAAATATCATTTTTATGTTTTCAAACTGTATTATGAAAATTAATGAGAGAAGTTTCAAAATTTTGGCTGGACCTTCTTCAAAACGTCATATATTTTCTACCGGAAGTAGTACTGTGATGAATGTACATCAGTGGCACATTGGTTTTTTGCTTGACATTGTTAAATCAATTTACTAAATTCTACATCGGTATACAGGACATATTTGGTGCGGGAAGTGATACATCTTCAAATATAATTCAATGGGCCATCAAGAAACACCCTTCAAGGAAAACATCCAGTGAAGGAAGATGACTTAGTTAACATCAAGTATCTAAAGCTTATCATCAAGGAGACTCTAAGGTTGCATCCTGTGGTACCATTGCTTCTTCCAAGAGAGTGTCTCCATGCGTGCAAGGTCATGGGCTACGACGTGCCTAAAGGCACCACCGTGTTTGTGAACATATGGGCAATTAACAGAGACCCCAAGCATTGGGATGACCCTGAGGTGTTCAAGCCAGAGCGGTTCGATGATGGCAAGATCGACTTCAAAGGTGCAAACTTTGAGTATATTCCGTTTGGTGCTGGTAGGAGGAGTTGCCCCGGGGTGACATTCGGGCATGCCACCGTGGAGCTCATGCTTGCTACGCTCTTATACCACTTTAAATGGGAGCTTCTTGAAGGAGTTGCGCCGAACGAACTAGACATGACGGAGGAGATAGGCATCAACGTGGGAAGGAAGAATCCACTTTGGTTGTGTCCCATTGTTCGTGTGCCCTTGCAGTGAGCCACCACCCGCCGTTGGCAAAGCAGCATTACACACCGTTGGGCGCTCTGCTTCTCTGGCTGTCTGCTCTGCATTTCCATGCTTTATATGTGATCGTTGTGACTGAATAAATTTGCTGTTCATATCTCCTTCGTACGACTTCTTGTCAGAAATGAACGTATGATTTTCGATCTCATTTGTGATAGAGATCATCCATTATTGTGCGTGCAGTTTTTCGTTTTAACAGGTCAGGCTGTGCGATAAAACAAGAGCAAGTTACAGAGCTAAAATGCCAAGATAGAAGAAAACAGAGCAGGGGCAGAGAAATAGTCTCACCTCAAGTTTACAATTCTTCAGTTTTCAGAACAGAGATACAGAAACTCTGTACCTCCAAGTTCACAATTCTTCAATTTTCTTGTTTATCAGTTCCTGCAATCATTCTGGAACACCTGCTTATTTCGTCCTTCAAATTTTTTTTTTTGATTCAATCCTCGTGTGCAATGGAGACTTCCCAATTGAGGCCTAATGGCAGTCCACATTTCCTTTGAAAACGGGCATTCTACAAATTCTAGAGATAAATCCTCGTGTGCAATGGAGACTTCACAATTGAGGCCTGATGGCAGTCCACATTTCCGTTGAAAACGAGCATTCTACAAATTCTAGAGACAAAGCGGACAGAAGTAGCTCCTGGCTTGCTGACCTGCTGGTGGTTTTCTCATCCCCAGCGAGACAATGCACTTGCATTAACGATAAGTTAGGTCCAATTTTTATCGATGGAGGAGATGGGTTTCGATCAATCAAGGTGGGCTCTAAGGGGTTTGGCCAATGACTAAACAGCAAACGTTGTAAATCAGGAAGAAACTCTGGCGCGCGCACATAGGGTTTAGGGCGCGCGTATTTAAGAAGCAACCAGAAAACAGAGCAAATGCATCTGCGAAGCAACACTTCGATTTAGATTAAGCGCAAGAAAATTAGACACAAAATATGAGCCATGACCAGGCCCAACCAACCACCATGATACAACCAAGTATAGTTTTAGGTTTCGACGGACATAAAACCATACAGAATTTAAAATTTATTCTCGGAAGAGGCTTCATCTACTCTTCTCTGGGGCAAAACACAACTCCCCTGTATCTGCAGGCCTCCATGAGGAGGGCTCGTCTAGTTGGTGCTGTGCATGTGACGGATCAGGTCGATCACACGGGTGCTGCAATCAGAGGAAAATGTGGTTTAAGCAGACTGTCGTGAGCATGTAACAGAGAATTACACTTTCATAATGCAGCACACACTAACCTGTAT